GGAGCACAGTAGAAGGCCTGGTGTTGGCTCTGGGCTTTCTCCTGGCACCAGCCTGACAAGTCTGCTTCTCTTACTAACCCATCTCCCCCTCATGTGTCCCCTAGGAGGTGACTTCTCAAAGCACTAACAGACTCCGCTGGTTGAGTCTACAGCCGTCCCTCTTGTGATCATAGGACTCAGCAGCACTGACTGTGTCCTCCCACACTCTCCCACCTGCCCTCAACTGGGGGTCCATGACTTGGCATTAGCATGTTCCAAATAAAGTGACACTGGCAACAAGTCACTGTGCATCGTCTCTATCCTGGGGCTCAGAGGAAAGAGGGAGGGTGGGCCTGAGTCCTGGCCTGGACCCATGGAGGGTCTCCTGGAGACCTCTGCACATCTGCTATGGACTCAAGATGGCATTCCCCATGACTGGTGAACCTGGACAAATCATTCCCATATCTGAGCCTCAGTTCCATCTGTAGCAGGACAGGGTTGAATGGAGCCTGAAGACCTCCCGTATTAGACGTCACCAGTGTCCCAGGTCATATTCCTCCACCCAATGTGATTTCAGCTGTGGAGGACAGTCTGCTACATGCGGGCTGATGTCTGCTTCTCCCTCTCCTTTTTACAACCTCCTTTTTTACAACACCACTCTGCCCACCTCCCGGTTGCTTTCCTTGTTTTATTCACCCCAAAGTCCTATCCTACCCTGTGAAGCCAGAGATAGCAGCTAGCTAGAAGCCATACTATTGAGCTAAGTATTGGGGACAAAAATCGAAAGAGGCCCACTGTGCTGCAAGAGACTAGCTCATCCTGTTGCATGTCCCCATGGTCTCCATTCCTCTTCAGGAGACCAAGCCTCCCCATTTGTCCCTCGACACCACCACCTCTCATGACATCCCTCTTGTAAATCCCACAGTCTCACCTGATCCACCCCCACACTGCCTCTCCCTCCCAGATACCCACTGGGGTCTCTGAGACTCCGCATCTGTCTTCCATAGACTCTGCTCCATCATCCCCATCACCAAAGGCTTCTTCCACCATCATGTCATGACTGACACTAGCTTGCCCATCCCTTGAAGCCTTCACCTGGAAGCTGAGACTTCATCCCCCCTCCAGGCCAGGAAAAGAGATACTTGTCTTCTGTGATGTTCATGTTTATTGTTTCTGTTGGGCCAGTTCTCCCTGTTCCTCCTGCAAAGAGCCCTCTTCCTGGGTTGTCTGAGTCACTCTGTAGTGACACCACCCTCTCTGACTCCCAGCTGCCACCCTGGTCACACCCTATCATCCATAGAAGAATTTAACTCATGGCCCAGCATTCCTTTCCACCAATTTTCAGTGTCCATGTGGATACTCTACTTAAAATTCTGGTCTCACATTCTTTGCCTGCTCACCTACAATGAGCTTCTTCACTCTGTCTTGGGAATCCACTCCCACGACTAGACCATTTTCAAAACCTCGCAGATATTTACTTACCAATCATGACTTCCCATCCCTCCAGCTGACTTGCTCTAGTACTCCACTGCTATAATTTATGACTACTTTTGTGATTTCAATTTCATTGACCCTACCACTTTCTCACTTTTTCATTAGCCTCCTATCTTCCCTCGTGACGCAGCTTAGATTCATGGTCTATATAGTGATTCTCAACATCAACTGCATGTTAGAAGCACATGACATGAGGAGCTCTTAAAAAATATCAATGCCAGCTGGGCATGGTGGCTCATGCCTGTAATCCCAGCACTTTGGGAGGCAGGTGGATCACTTGAGCCCAGAAGTTTGAGGCCAGCCTGGGCAACATAGTGAGATCCCAGCCCTACAAAAAGTGAAAAAACAACTAGCCAGGTGTGGTGGCACACTCCTGTAGTCCTAGCTACTCGGAAGGGTGAGGCGGGAGGATCCCTTAAGCCCGGGAGGTCAAGACTGCAGTGAGCCAAGATCATGCAGCTGCACTCCAGTTTGGGTGACAGAGTGAGACCCTATCTCTTAAAAAAAAAAAAAAAATTAAATTAAAAAAATAAGTGCCCATGCCCCATCGTAGGCCTATTAAATCAGGATGTTTGAAAGGTCCATGGGTGACTCCAATGTGCAGCTGGAATTGGGAATCACTTTCCTACCATTATAATTACTCCAGTGCAAGTACTGTTCACTCCCTTGCTTTTCTGTGCCTCCTTCATACCCACCTGGCATGGCCGGGCGCGGTGGCTCACGCCTGTTATCCCAACACTTTGGGAGGCTGAGGTGGGTGGATCATGAGGTCAGGAGATTGAGACCAACTTGGCTAACACGGTGAAACCCCGTCTCTACTAAAAATACAAAAAATTAGCCGGGCGTGGTGGCGGGCACGTGTAGTCCCAGCTAGTCAGGAGGCTGAGGCAGGAGAATGGCATGAACCCGGGAGGCGGAGCTTGCAGTGAGCCCAGATCGCGCCACTGCACTCCAGCCTGGGCAACAGAGCGAGACTCCGTCTCAAAACAAACAAACAAACAAACAAACAAAATACCTGGCAATACTCCAAGCCAGGATGAAGCCAAATATCTGCCCAGCTTTCTGCTTCTAAACAGAATTTCACAGCTAGGCTTTTTTTAACCTTAAATTTGTGATCATAACCTTCAAATTGGCCTCTAATTCAAGGTTTGAGGTAAGCTCTATTTCCCATTCTCCAAGATGACTTGGTATACCTTCTATTCCCCCACTTCATTTTCATGAGGTGATCTTGTCTCAAAAAGACATCATCGGATGGAAATTCCGTCAGTAAATCTACAAACAAATGTACATCTACTCCATCTTCTTCTTCCCTCCTGGCATAATCAAGTGTTCCTACATGGGCCAGACACAGTGCCTGTAATTCCAGCACTTTGGGAGGCCAGTGCAGGTGAATCACTTGAGGTCAGGAGTTCAAGACCAGCCTGGCCAACATGGTGAAATCCTATCTCTACTGAAAATACAGAAATTAGCAGGGTGTGGTGGTGCATGCCTGTAGTTCCAGCTACTCAGGAGGCTGACGCAGGGGAATTGTTTGAACCTGGGAGGTGGAGGTTGCAGTGAGCCAAGATTGTGCCACTGCACTCTAACCTGGGCAACAGAGCGAGACTCCGTCTCAAAAAAAAAAAAAAAAAAAAGGAAAAAAAAGAAGTGTTCCTATCCCTAGGAAGGGTCCTTGATACTCTGTTTCTAGACCCTCCTGCTTTCTCAAGGACTTGGTCCTTGCACTATCCCCCTTTGAATCATCAGTTTCCTTCCTATCAACACAGAAACAAGATTTTGTGTCTCATATCTTAGTCTCACTGCTTTGATTCCCCATTTCCCCCTAGATACTGCTCCATTTTTCTTGGGAAGATGGAAAACCTTTTATGGAAAAACGTGTCAAAAGAATGATTTACCCTAGCTGTCCTCCAGTTTTTTAACCCCCAAAAGAGAATCTGTTATAAAGACATGGATAACTCATGGGTAAAAATACAGCTCTTCAAGGTAGTGATATAGCCGAGGTGGGGAGTGGCAGGCCACTTGGAATCCATAGAGTCCTCACTGTCTGCCTTCTCCTCCACATTTCTTGTGTCTCATTCTTCTTTTTCAGTAATGCAGACTCCTCTACACTCCTCGAACAGAGTTTAGGTCTATTGTACCTTGGCCAGAAGAGCAGAGTTGGATAATGGAAAATGCTTACTTGAAGCCTGTGTAACATGGCGAAACTCTGTCTCTACTAAAAATACAAAAAACTTAGTTGGCCATTGTCTTAATCTGTGTGTGCTGCTATAACAAAATCCCTGGAACTAGGTAATTTATAAATTATGGATACTTATTTCTCATGGTTCTGGAGGCTGGGAAATCCAAGATCAAAGCACCAGTAGTGTCTGTGTCTGGTGAGAGCCTGGTCTCTGCTTCCAGGAGGGCACCTTGTTGCTGTGTCCTCACATGGCAAAAGGCAGAGGGGCACAAGGGCAAAGGGCCTAGCTAGTTCCCCCAGCATGCATGTGGTCACTAACACCTTCATGAAGGCACATCCCTGCCCTGGCCCCCTAAAAGTCTTTTTTTTTTTTTTTTTTTTTTTTTTTTTTCGAGACATGGCCTTGCTCTGTCACCCAGGCTGGAGTGCAGAAGCATCATCCTGGCTCACTGCAGCCTCGGCCACCCAGGCTCAAGTGATACTTCCACCTCACAAGATTATTTTATTTTATTTTTATAGAGATGGGATCTCTCACTATGTTGCACAGGCTGGTCTCAAACTACTGGGCTCAAGTGATCCTCCTGTCTCAGCCTCCCAAAGAGTTGGGATTAAAGGTGTAAGCCACCACACTCAGACAAAACTTCTTACAAGGACACTAATCCCACCATAAGGGCCTTACCCTCACGACTTCATATAAACTTCCCAAACGCCCTATCTCCTGGGAGAGGAACACCAGTCAGTCCATTGCACCTCCCTTATCTGGCAGACCCCCACCTCTTGCTTTAATTCTGCTCAGGCATCACTTCCTCAGGAAATCCTTGACTAAGCACCTCATATCCCCCACCGCTTCACTCTAAGGTGACAAGGCGGGCTTTAATTCATGTTTTGTGCTTACCTCTTTCATGGCACTTGTCTCTGTTTTGTAATTATCTGTTTCCGGTCTGATTCCCTAACAGGTCGTGAGTCCCTTGAAGGCAAGGCCTTTGTCTCATTCAACTGTGTTCTCCCAAACCCTAGAACACGGCCTGACCCGTGGTAGGCAACCAATGATACTTTTTGAGTGAATAAAACAAAAAGTATTGCCCTCCTTAATAAAAGAAAACCTAGAACCTTCAAGATTGACATTGGCCTTCGCGTAGCCCAATCACAGCGCTTTGCCCTTGCTGCAAGGACTAAAGGACGCCACGCGGCCGTTGCCTAGTAACTATCGCCGGAGGGAGGCGGAGAGGGCCGCAAGCGCGCCGCCGGCGTCCAATCAGGGCGTGCATTCCGGGAGCCAATAGCAGCTTCGAGAGCTGCTCACCTAGAGCCGACTACACTTCCCGTCATGCCCCGCCGCCCGGGGCTGGGCAGTGGCCGTAAAGCTGTTCGCTCGGTACGACGCGAGTCCGAGCTCAGCGCCTATCCTGGGTCCATGGGCGCTACCGCCCCCCGACGTGAGAGAGCGAAGTTCTCGGGCCGCGCTCCCTCCCTGCCTGGGTGCCCGCCCTCTCCGGGAGCCTGGGTCCCGGGGGCGGTCGCGGCGGCTGCATCCTCAGGCCAGGCCGCGGGGGGAGGGGGCGGCACGGGCCTCCGAAAGCGGGGCCATGGAGCCCAGAGAGTCGGGGAAGGTAGGACTGGAAGGCCCGGGGGCCGCCCGCTCCCTCCCGAGGATCCCTGAGCCGGGCTCGGGCGAGGCGGGGCGGCTCGGGCGGAGGCCCCGCAGATGAGCCAGGCTTGCAGGGAAGGACTCGCCGACCCGCCCTCCGTTCCCGCACTTTGGCGGCCGACCCCGGGAGGGTGGCGGAGAGGAGCGGAAGCGCCCGTTCGGTGTTCGCGCATCCTCCCGGAGCTGGCGAGTGGCCGCTGGGTCTATGCGGGGTTGGGTGACCCCCGAGTGTAGCGATGCGAAGGTGCTTCCTGTTTCGCCCACCACCTTCGGCATTTTGAAGAGGCCGGGCTAAGGCTTGGAGTCTGGATCGGACGCCAGTGGGAGCCGCAGGGTGGGACGCTTGAGGGCTTGGCCCTGCCTAGATCCTGCTTCCCAAGAAAGGGCTGAAAGGAGAGGGCATCTGGCATGCTTTTTGCCACTTCTGTTTCTAGGTTATGTACTTCATGGAATATCTGGGCATTGCTTAGAAACCTGTGTCATAAATGGGCTTTGGGCAAGAGGCTTTGAGTTGGAAGAAAAGGTGGAAAGAAAGTGCTTGGGGGTGGAGTTCAGGGATTTGACGGGATTGCCAGCGCTTCCAGGCCGTGTCAGCAAAGACCAGTGTGGTTGTGGGCACATTAGCTTGGAGACAGTGGCAGCCTCTTGGGACTAACATCTTTCTGGATGTTGTTTGCTGCCAGTTCTCGAGGATTGTTTCTTATTTGGCACAGAGGAGAATTCTCTCAACAAACGTTTTCCACTGTTTATTGAGTCCCTTAAAAAATTGTCCATTTAATAAACATTTGTAATCTGTGATTTGAATTGAACGAGATGCTGGAAGTATGAGGATAAATAGGAAATGATCACCTTTCTCAAGGAGCTCCCCTGCAGTTTTCACTTCAATAACTTGGACACGCCTGGAAGGGTTGTCCCACACCAAAAGAGAGAAAAGGATAATGTTCTTTTGATGCTGTAGTTTTTCCTGGGAAGACTAGGAAGGACTCTGAATTTCAAAAGAGGTGATTTCTCGCATGACCATCTCTTCCATCCTCCCTTCCCTCCACAAGCTACAGTGATGCATTTTCCAGACACGGCACCTACAGAGTACAGGGTCCAAGACAAATAAAGCTCAACAAGGCCCAAGAAAAGCTGGAGCTTATGGGCCTTACCCTTTAGAAATATCCCCGGATTGATTTAGATTGAACCTGAATTTGAATAAAGAGGAGCAAAATGTAGGGGGAAGAAGGATTATAAAATATTGGGATTGATATTGGAATCAGTGATTTGAGGTTGATTTCCAAGCTATTCTGTTTAGTCGTAGACTTTCTTAGCCTTTAATGGGAGAAGAGAGAAATACGGTCATGCGCTGTAGAACAAGGTTTCCATCAACACGGCTGTCATGTACATTCCCTGTGACTACAGTGGGGCTGAGAAATTCCTATCACCTGGTGACATCATGATCCCGACCCTGTGTAGGCTTAGGCTAATGTGTGTGTTTGTGTCTTAGTTTTTAACAAAACTTAAAAAGTAAAAAAAAAAAAAAAAATTTAAAATAGAAAACCTCATAGAATATAAAGAAAAATACCTTTTGTTGACGGAATGGTTTGCTAGAAAATAAATAAAAATACAAAAATATTTAAAGAAAAATATTGTACAGATGTACAATGTGTGTTTAGCTAAGCGTTATTACAAGAGTCGAAAGTTTAAAAAATTAAGTTTATAAAACAATTACAATAAGCTAGGGTTCATTTATTGAAGAAAAAAATTTTTAATAAATTTGGTGTAGCCTTAATGTGCAGTGTTTATAAAGTCTACAGAAGTGTTCAGTCATATCCTAGGCCTTCACATTCACTCACTCACCCACCCACCCACCCACCCAGAGCAACTTCCAGTTCTGCAAGCTCCATTCATGGTAAGTGCCCAATACAGATGTACCCTTTTTTTTTTTTTGTCTTTTCTACCCTATTTTTACTGTACCTTTTCTATGTTTAGATACGCAAATACGTACCAGGTGTTACAGTTGCCTACAGTTTTCAGTACAGTAACATACTGTGCAGGATTGTAGCCTAAGGGCAAAAGGGTATACCATATAGCCTAGTTGTGTAGTAGGCTGTACCATGTAGGTTTGTGTAAGTACACTCTGTGATGTTCCACAATGACAGAATTGCCTAAGGACACATTTCCCAGAACTTATCCCCGTTGTTAAGCAATGCATAACTGTACAAACATTTTGGGAGGTAGAGGAGAAACCTGATTCCTTTTCTGGTCCAACCACTAAGTGAAACCTCAGAAACTGGAAATTTCACCCTTGATTCTAATCTTTATTTTAAGGTGGCTCAGAAAGATGCTCGCCCTTCCCCAATACAGTTGTTTTCTAATATGGGAAATGAGAACTTCATACAAGAATGAAATAAAGTAATTACAAAACCAACTGGCAGTGTAAGATGTATTGCAAATGAATGACAAGGAATAGCGGTGCTGTTCTACAGCTCCACTCTGAACAGCATTTTTATGGCTCGGAACTGGGAGACTACCTTGTGAGATAGTGATTTGGTCTATTACTAGACTCTTGGGTGCTGTTTTGTGGTCTTTATTAACTAAAAGCCATCTGAGGCCATTGGATTGATATCCCACATTGAGTGTAGGACATCTTGCCTGTCATTTCCAGAATAATGGATACGGGTCAGACTTTTCCCCACCATGCTCTATCCCATGATCCTGTTTTATTTTCTTCCCAACCCTTATCACTCAACAAAATTCTCATGTTTATTTATTTATTTACATATTTGTTGACTGTTACATCCCCGGCTAGAACAGTGGAGCAGCTCCTGGCATTTAATAGGGTCTCATTCATAGGAATGCTTATAAAATAGCATCACTACAGGAGCCCTTTTGCTGCAAGGTGTGGGTGCTCTGAAGAACACTGCAGCCCGCCCCCTCATGTGCCTCCTGGGAGACTGTGCTGTTGATGCCCCCAAAGAGAAGTCTATATGTGTACTTGTTTCTGTATGTATTTGTTGCCTCAATGTTTGTGTTTGCTGGCCCTCTTATCTTTCCTGTACAAGTGACTGATACTCCTTTCTCATTTTTTTCTGAACATGGTTCTATTATTGCACCTGCATCTTAGTTGTCTGTCACCTCCTGATAGATTTTAATCTCATATCTTTGAATTACCATGCACCAAGCACATAGAAACACTTAAGTAATAAATGTGTGTTGAATGAAAAAAATGAATTAAGTGCCTATAAAATACTTTCCATATAACATGGTTGTGGGGAGAAGGGTGGTGTTGATGAAGGAAGTTTTAAAATCAACCAAGCAGCATAGATTTCTTTAACACTGGACTCTAGGGGAGATACAAAGCCTTCCTTGCTCAGGAGAAGGATGAATGCTTGGGCCAGGTGGTTAGGAAATCCTTCCTGAAAGATAACGTGAATCGCAACTTTATGGGTGGGTGGATTCTAAGTCAGTGGGAGGAAGTGGGCAGTCAGGATCTAAAGATTGGGAGTGTAGAGAGAGGAAAGGTGCGAGATAAGCTGGGTGATTGCAGTGATATGAGTGGCTGGAGGAGACGTTCTGAGTGAGGCAATGCACAGAGCTGAAGTTAGAAAGTGGGTTAGATTCAGACTGAGGGGGCTTTGGTGCTAGACTGAGAATTCAGACAGCTTTACCCTGTAGAGAGTGGGAACCGCTAAAATAAAACATCGGGAGATATTCTTTGCCTTACACATAGATGAGGAACTCCTCTTGTTCGTGCAGATTTGTGTTTTCTTTACATTGCTGTCACCTAGATCAGAAGGCTCTTGCCATAATATTGTTTAAGAGAGGCACCAGGTGTTAGTGTTATCACTCTTGCTGGGAAGACGCTGTTGTCCAAATGGACAGTCCTAGCCATGCTCTTTCTCAGGTGGAGCTAATGTGATGGTTCCTTGGTCCTTATTATGCTCACCTGTGCATGCCCGGGAAGGATGGGCATGAAGAGGGACCGCGGCTGTCCTGAGTCACAAGTATTTTAACCTGCCCCAATCTGGACAGGCTGCCCTTCAGTCCTGGGATACAGCAGTCGTCCTGAATCTGCCTTCAGCCTAATTTTGGGGTTATCTTCAATGCTTCCCCACATTGTCTGTCCCTAGGCTGTATCTCATGGAGACTCCTTTCCTGTTTGACCACTTTCTTTTAGTGGAGCCTGTCTTCCAGTCGGTTTTTGGAAATATTTCATTTTGCTTTGGAAGACACTCTATAGCAAATAGTTATTTAAATGTATGCATTTGGCTGTACAATTCCATTTTTGTTTTTAAAACTGTTCATACATATTCATAGACTAAAGACTGGGAGGTTATATATAAAATGTTAACGGGTTCTCAGGAAAGAAGGGTAATGAAAAGTAATTCTTTTTCAATAAAGGGAATGTGCGTGATCTTAATACAGTTTTTTCTGCTTATTTCTATTGTCCAAATTTTTTGCAGTCACCATAAGAAAAATCTATTATGATAGTGACCGGTAAGAATGATCTATGTCATTTTCCTCAAGAAATGTCTACTGTCGAGGTTAAAATCGATACTTCACCTATTTTTAAATGGCATGCTGCTATTCCCAATGTTATTTTTCTTTGGACTGAGAAATTTGTTTTTTGTTGATAATTTGATTGATTTACTTCTTTTAAAAATTTCTTTAGGTAATGTTTTCATGGCACAAAACTTAAAATGATAAACATTTCTACTTCTTTTTCTGTTGATTTCTTTTATACCACTTTGTTGTATGGCAGCAGTACCTTACCTCTTTGATGACTGGATGATAGGTTTTTTGGTTTTTTTTTTAAGTTTTTTTCTCCATGCCTCCCTTACATTTTCTTAGCAACCCCCCCGCCACCCCAACACCTCCCATCTGTTTTGGTCTCTATAGTCCCTGTTAGATCCTTTCCCCAAGTGTCTGATAGTCCAGTCTGCTGACATTTAGCAGTGGAAGACCAAAACTCTAATAACTGTGCTTGTGAGAGGGAGGACGGGCTTATCAGCTGGAGCCTCGTGTAAAGAACCTGGGGAGGCATTTGTTGGGGCACAGCCCTCCCCTAGTTCTCATTCCATTGGGCTGCCTGCCTGCCCTCCTGTGCTAGAGGTTTCCCGTGCTGGAAGATACCAAGCTTTTGAGGATGCAGAGTGTACCTTGGGTGGTTCTCCGCTTTGCCTGCTGCCGGGCGAGGATTTGATTTTCTTCGATCTGCTGAGTGACTGCTTTTTCATCTGCTTCTCGGTTTCCAAGAGCATATTGCTGTCGTCTCCTTGTTGTGTCCCCTATTATAGTGGGGGTTTTGTTTGGGGGATGGGCTTTTAAATTAACAGGGAATAAACCAAATTAAATGGGCTTGTTTAATCTGCCATCTTAATCTGGAACTCCTCCAAGCACTTTCTGAACTCCCTGCCCCACAGAGCCCCTTTACAAGCCACACTGGATGTAGATCTCGGCCCCAAAGCATTGCCTGTTTTCATCATTCACAGACATAGTTCTAAATGACTTTCAGCTATTTCTAGAAATCGGACACATCTTCCTAAGTGAAGGTTTACCATGTTTAAGGTTCCATGAAAGAATGTGCCCTAAGTTGTTGCCCAGCCCCTGGCTGAGAAGGAACGGGCGTGTGGGAGGCGGGGGAAGAGCACGCAGGGAGGGGACGGAGAAGCTCCTAAGCCAGCTCCTTCATGGGTCAGTTTCGTTTCAGCGCATGGCACTTCCCGGAAGAAACGAGTCTCGTTCTCACTGTGATCTGTACCCAGGTGGGGAGATATGGGGTGTGGGCCTTGCATGTAAATTGACAACACCCCTTCCCATGCGGGGTACCCTCAGGTGGTCAGGAACACTTTTGGAAGATAAATCTAAGGAAGAGGGTGGTACTTAGCAGCTGTCATTTTCCTTTCAGGCTCCTGTGACGTTTGATGACATCACTGTGTACTTACTCCAGGAGGAATGGGTGCTGCTGAGCCAGCAACAGAAGGAGCTCTGTGGTTCCGACAAGCTGGTGGCACCACTGGGTATGGGTGCCCATCCACATCCCTGCCACCATCAATCTAGATCAGCATTCCCAACCTCATCTGTGTCAGGAACACTGGAGAGAGTTTTCTGGAATCCAAGCATTTGTCTAGGCATCTTTATACCACCTATCTGCTCGATCCCGTATCTACCTTAATTGCATGCAAATTCACACATCACCGTTTCTCTTCTCCCCATAAAATGGTCAAGAGAAGTGGGGCAATCTGGCAGGCCTGGGCTAGACTCCTGGGTCTGTCTCCTGGTGCCTCAGAATGCCCCAAGGGGCCAGGAGGGAAACTCGGAAGCTAGGCCTGTGGATCTGTGGAGCCCGTAGGACGCTGGAGGTAGGAAGCAGTGGTGGCAAGAGCATCACATTTGCAATGTGGAAATCTGATCTCAATCCCAGCTCTCCACTGGATACTTGAGTGCCTTTGGCCTTTTTAAGCCTGAATTTCTATCTTAGGGTTATTGTAGAGATTTAGTGAGATAAAACAGTTTAAGAGTTTGCACAAGTGTATTTTTCATCTCGTCTATTTTTTGAATGCTCTTTCCTTTGATTCTTTGGGTAGACTTTCTGTGCCAAGGACAGAGGTAGTTGGTTGTATTTCAACATGTGTGTACAGATATGCACTGTTGACTGATTGCAAGTTGATGACTGTCTACCATGCTTTTCTTATTTCGTCTTGGCTGCTGTGTAAGGCATAGTAGAAGCCACAATCTCAGCATTTTGTGGGTGGAAGGACTGCAGCTGGGTTGAGTCTTCCTGTGCCAGCTAAAAGAGTTTGAAAACCACTGATTCTTCCAAACCAGAAGTTGCAAAGTAGCAGCTCATGGGCCAGATACGGCTCACTGCTTGGAGTTTTGATTTGCTTTGTTTTTTGACTTTTGTTTCTTTTGTTTGGCTTCTTTAAATTGCCAATATTTAGTTATTAGGAGTTTTCACATAAGAATATGGATTTCTGGCATCTCTTGACAAACAGGACGGTGTGGCAGGGCTGAGCCTGCGTCCCGAGTGGCAGCCCTTCTGCAGCTGAGTAGCTACTGTTCCCTTACGTCTTGCAGGTTGCCACAGCCCCTGAACTTGGCCTGGTTTCCTCTGTTATATTACCAGGCTGGCCCCTCTCAGCATTTGGGTTTCTGACCCATAGTTTTTATACCTGTTTAGCCTCCTTTTGCCCTCATTCCTTTCTCCTAGTCTCCTATTCTATTAAGGGCCTCACAGATACGAGTTTCTAAACCACTGAACCACTGTGCGGAACCAGCAAGACTCCTACTTTCCTCCTTGGCCGCTTATTTCACCATGCCGAGAGATGTCGCAGACCTCCTTCGTGCTGTGACCCAGAGCCAGGTCTTCATAGTGCTTTTCTCTCTCTCTCTCTCTTTTTTTTTTTTTCACTCAGGACCAACTGTTGCCAACCCTGAGCTGTTTTGTAAGTTCGGACCAGGGCCAGAGCCATGGCTTGGCAGTGTCCAGGGCCAGAGGAGCCACCTGGAGCATCACCCAGGTGAGTGTGGACCTGCACTCAGGGGCAGGTGCTTGGCTGGAGAGGGAGCAGGGGCAGCTCCAGGACTCCAGGCTCATCCTCTGCCCTCCCTGTTCGCCACCAACTGACACTGCTGTTCTCCTCCCAGGTGTCATCTGATTAATATCTAAATATACACACTGCCCCTAATGTCCTTCTCCAACCTCTCATCTCCCATTGTCTTATTTCTACCCAGGAGAATATGTTTATTTATAATTATTATAAGTTCTATGAAGGCATGACTTTGTCTTATTTACTACCATATTCCTAGTGCTTAGAACAATACCTGGCACCCAGCTGTTGCACAATAGATAATCGCTGAATGAATGAATGAACAGCTGTCTGTTAAGTTCTAGGGATTTATCTTTTCTTCCCTCTTTCGATAAGACCCTCCTGTTCAAGGGTTGGCTTAGCCAGGCCAGATGACATCTTGTCATTATGTAAAATAGCCGAGTTAACCCAACTCCTACTGTGGGAGAAGAGGGAGGTGGGGAGCAAGATCCTATGTGAATCAAATCACAGAAGTTTGTTTTCCCTTGTGATTTCTCTCAGACCACAAGGAGCTCTAGACACCTTTGTGACTCTGGAAAGTATCATAGAGACAGATTTGTTTTGTTTCATTTCTCCTTGCTTGGCTCTTATTTTGAGCCTTCTGACTCTTTATTAACAGCTTCATGCCCTTACAGTTTTGTAGACCAGTCTGTTGGCCTGGCACAAAAAATGTTGAGTCCTCAGCCACTGGGCATTGGAACTGATGTTGGTACATAAGAAATGGTTCCACAGGAGTTAGAGTCGTTTGAGTTGCATTTCATCTACGTGAATAAAGAAACTTCTAGTTCAGCTTGAAGAAAAAAGATGTGAGGTCATGAGAGTCCTCATCTGTTTGAAGGTTTGTGTTATAAGAGAGGAATTAGACTTGAGTTTCTCTTGAGGACTGGGTCAGCATCCAGTATTTTGAGGTAAAAGTATCTGAAGATAGATTATAGCTTAAGGAAAACTACCTGGGGACGAAAACTGCCTGCCCAGGAGATAGGTAGCTGTCTTCCCCTGGAGTTGCGGTATGTGGCTTTAGTGATCTTTTTTAAATCCTATGTTCTATTATGTTAGTGTTCTTATCCATAAATAAATTTTGACTCCTGAAGATTGTACGTTTCATAGATCAGATTGCAAAGATCTCCTTTTGGCTGGTTGTATCTGTCCTTTAAATTAAAAAAACAAAAAGGACGGGGAGGGTTCCGTAAAGCCCATCCCTTTGGCTTTCTTCTGGATTAGGTGAGGGAAGGGCCTGCAGACTTGGCCAGGACTAGAAGAAAATTCAGGTGTGTGTGTTTGCTTTCCGCTTTTCATATTTGAGGTTCTTCAGAGCTACTGTGAGTTGCAGTGGCTCTAACTACAGGATTTTAAAGCAAATCCCTTCCGTCCCTGTTCTCTAAAGGAAAAAAACAGATGGGCTACATGGAAGACATGGGCGTGCAAGGTCCCACCAGGGAGAGTGGACAGTCCCTGCCGCCTAAGAAGAAAGCCCGCCTTTCCCACCTCAGTACGTGCAGTGGACACATCGAGGGAGACTGGGCAGGAAGAAACAGGAAACTCCTGAAGCCCCGGTCCATCCAGAAGTCATGGTTTGTGCAGTTTCCGTGGCTGACCATGAATGAGGAGCAGACGGCTCTGTTCTGCTCTGCTTGCCGAGAATACCCCTCCATCAGGGACAAACGGTCAAGACTAATAGAAGGTTATACAGGACCATTCAAGGTGGAGACTCTCAAATACCACGCCAAGAGCAAGGCCCACATGTTCTGTGTCGATGCCTTGGCAGCAAGGGACCCCATCTGGGCAGCCCGGTTCCGGAGCATCAGAGACCCATCTGGAGATGTCCTGGCCAGCCCGGAGCCACTCTTCACGGCAGATTACCCCATATTCTACCCCCCAGGGCCTCTGGGAGGCTTTGATAGCATGGCTGAGCTCCTGCCAAGCTCAAGAGCTGAACTAGAGGACCCTGGGGGGAATGGAGCAATTCCTGCTATGTATCTGGACTGCATTTCAGATTTGAGGCAAAAAGAAGTCACTGATGGCATCCACAGCTCCTCAGACATTGATATTTTATGTAATGATGCAGTAGAATCCTGCATTCAGGTAATATGTTTATAATGATGGCTGTATCTTACAGAGAAGGATTCTATACTGAGAACAATGTATATCCAGGCTGATGATGGAAAAAAGAATACTAGCAATAACCCATTGCTGACATCATAATGTTAGCATATACTAACATGCTTATCATGGACTAGGCATTGTTTTAGATGCGTCACATGTATTATCTCATTTAATTTGGACAACAGCCCTATTATTATCTCCTTTTTGCAAATAACAAAACGTAATTAGTGAGACAGAACATTTCTACTTCCGGTATAAAGGAAACAATAATCTTTATTCAGAATCCAAAATAAACACAGATCTCAAGAAATAATCTACAACCACAGAACAATCACAGAGCCCTTAAATAGTTGATATTTAAATTTGTTTTGTTTAAGAGACAGGGTGTTGCTCTGTCACCCAGGCTGGACTGTGGTGTGATCATAGCTCACTGCAGCCTTTACTTCCAAGGCTCAAGCAATGCTTCCCACTCAGCCTCCCAAGTAGCTGGGACCACAGGTGTGTGTCTCCACACCTGGATAATTTTTTATTTTTTGTAGAGATGGGAATCTCACTATACTGCCCAGGCTGGTCTTGAACTCCTGGGCTCAACCAGTCCTCCCCTCTCAGCCTCCCCAAATGCTAGGATTACAGATATGATCTACCACACCTGTCTAGTATTTTTTACAGTTTAACTTTAACTTTGAAGTCATGTTGCACTTTTAAACATTGCAGTTTTTCACACGTGTTGTTTGACGTAATGTTTCTGATGTTGCTGTGAGGCCAGTAGAGCAAGTGCTATTAAACTCATCTTGTTGGAAGAAAACAGACTTTGGAGCAAGTGACATGTCCGGGGTTCTAGAACTCTTATAGTCAGTGCCAGAGTCTGCCCAGAGTCCTGAGCTGCCAGTCCATGCTTTCCTTCCACTCCCCACAGCACTGCTGGGCACTAAGTACTCTAGCGCCCACCTTAGGTTTCCTTTGTAGTTAGCGAATGCTTTGGAAAGTTGTCCTGTAAGGAAACTGTGTTCATTGGAAGCTTCCCCATTTCTCACCTATTGCATAGAAGTAGAATTTTACAACAAATCATTGTTAACTCCCCTCCAGGAGTCTGGCGAGAATAACTCGGAGATTCCTCCTAGAGCTGGCATCATAAGGAATCCAGTTCAACTGCATAAACTCTCATTTTTCCAAAATCCAGAAAAACAGCATAGCTCATTTCTTTTCCTATTCCTGACCTTTTTTAGTGTTAGAAGCTAATAAACAGATCTAACCTTTTATCATCTGAATTCCTTCAGCAGTGAGGCATGTGTAAACCAGTTACTGGTCGTAAGCATCTTTAACTATTTTGACCACCTCTTCGTTCCCATCCCATTGGGAAATCTTAGCAGGTGCTCTTAGAGGCACATGGTCACCTTTTAGTTGTAGGTGACCAGGAGGCGGCTCTCAGGACTCTGAGGACAGCATGCAGTGAGAGGCTCTGCCCAGCTGCCTCTTCTTTCCATATGCTTTCATTTCCGCCCAGGAGATCCTAGGATCTAGCCGAGTCTCACTTGGTTTTAACTTACTAATTATGGCCTCCTGAATTTGATTCTTTGACTTTCAATGGATAAATTCATTCCTCTGAGTGCATCTGGGCCTCTTGGTGAGCTTCCCAGGAGAAATAGGGCTTCCAAAGGCCCCAGAAGTGTTGCGCGGGCATCTGGCTTGGCAGGCGGTGCTGAGTGGCCGCTGCTGTTTATTCCAGGACCCTTCTGCAGAGGGGTTGTCGGAGGAGGTTCCTGTGGTGTTTGAGGAGCTGCCGGTGGTGTTCGAGGATGTGGCAGTGTATTTCACCCGGAAGGAGTGGGGCATGCTAGACAAGCGGCAGAAGGAGTTGTACAGAGACGTGATGCGGATGAACTACGAGCTGCTGGCATCCTTAGGTAAAGACGCACCGAGCCTCTTATTCGCCACCCTCATTTGACTTGGGAAGCCCACAAGGGGAGCTGAGGCTTGTGGTTATCTTCCCATTCCTGCCCCCTCCCCGTGCGTAGGCAGAGACCAATCCTGGCTTTTGCACCTCAGAACTCCCCTGCTTGGCGTAACCGTGCTTTATCACCTTCTCATCCACCCATCTGTCCGTCCATTCATCCCCCACCAGACATTTTGGAGTACCTACTATGTGCCAGAGGAGCACAGCTGATCCGTGGTCTCTGCTTTCAAGGGCCTAGCACATTTGTGGGAGAGAGAGACATTTTAATAAGAAACTATAAAATAATACAGTCTCCCATAAAAGAGCTTCCAGAAGAGTACCCGGGGCTACTGAAGAAGAGGGATCTGATTTCCTGGGCATTGGTGGGAGGGATCAGGAAGCCTTTATAGAGTAGGAAATGTTTTAATTGAGTTCAAAACCAGGTGGACCAGGAGGAAGGGCATTGAACCATGATGGAGGGGACGGCCTGGCAGAGCCACCCCTATCTGTGCAGCCCAGGGCTGAGGCTCCTGCATCCTGGCCAGGTGCCGGCAAGGGCTGGCAGCCTTCAGCATGGGAGTCATGGGGTTTGGACCTTGGCAGATTAGGAAGACGGCAGTGCTTATTACTCCTCGGGATGGTGCTCTCCTCTCCTGCATCTGCTGTTTTATCCTCTCTTTGCCTCTTTCTGGCAGTTAGCAAGGTTAACTTCCATCAAGATGGAAAGACAACTTTTTTTGTTGGAGACAGTCTCCCTGTGTCGCCCAAGCTGGAGTGCAGTGGCGCGATCTTGGTTCACTGCAACCTCTGCCTCCCAGATTTAAGAAATTCTCTTGCCTCAGCCTCCTGAGTAGCTGGGATTACAAGTGTGTGCCACCATGCCTGCCTGGCAAATTTTTGTATTTTTAGTAGAGACGGGGTTTCACCACGTTGGCCAGGCTGGTCTCAAACTCCTGACCTCAGGTGATCCACCTGCCTTGGCCTCCCAAAGTGCTAGGATTACAGGTATGAGCCAGCACACCTGGCCAACTCTTCATCTTCTACATCTTTTATGTATTTCTGTACTAACATACATGGTAACAGAAACCTTGTGGAACAGGCTATTGTACATAACTAAGGAGTTCCAGCAGCAACCTGTGTTGTGACTTCTGCAGAACAGGAAGTAAGAAGTCTGTGACTTGATTGATGTCATAGTCCCTTGTGTATACTGCACTTTTGGGCGCAGCTAAGATCTGGATTATTTTCTAAACATCCTTGACTTATATACATCTTTTTGTCATTGTTCATAATTTTTAAATGGCTCCCCAAACATTCAGAAGTGACTTAAATTAATTATTTTGTGGTGACAGAGGTTTTGTCATCATGCCCTAGGTTAGGAGTATCTCTTCAAAGAGCATCACTGCCTCTGCTGTGCTGAAGAGCAGTGAGAGTGAGGGCGAAATTCACACCTGTTTTAAAAATGCACACCCTCTCCAAAAAGTTGGGTTTTCCTTCAGAGTAATTGGCACTAGCGACTCAGTTTCACTGTGAAGCCCCCGGGCGATTGTGAAAGTACCGGGCAATGGTGTTGCCGGCCCAGGGCAGCTTCTCCGGCAGTGCAGGGAGGGCTGGCCAGGATTGTTTAGCCTGTGCCTGTTCCCTCACATTTTGTGTCTTGATAGAGCATGATCTAAACATTTTATCATTTTCTTTTTCATTTAGGGGAAATCTTAGCTAACTAAGGTCTTTAAGTTTTATTTGGATGAACAAAAAATGTAATCAGAGGGAAGGGAACTCATTTTCCTTGAGGGTCAGAGGCAGGAATCAGAAAGGCTTTCTAGGGGCTGGGCCTGGCCTCTCCAGTTGTCCATGAAATTGAGACAGGTGTGGGAGTCTAGAAACGGAGTTGCATGTGTGTGATTCCTTTCAGTTACTTTAACTGGATCTCTGGTTATCCTTTATCCCCCAATTTAAACAGTTCTTCATGTTTGAGATATAAAAGTATCTTAAGGAGCCTGGAGACTATGGGCAGGGCCTGGCATAAGCTATTTGTATATTTAAAAGTGATATATAGTAGTATTAAATTGGGATATAAGGTAGTGTTAAAACATAGTGGAGATTCTGTAATTGTTGTTATTATTTTTACTTTGGCTCTTTTTTTAATTTCCCACACTTTAGCCTCCATAACAAATGCTTTAAGAGTTGAAAACCAAATATTCTTTTGCATTATCTTTTAAATATTTTTTGCAAATAGAACACAAAACTTCTTCTTGGGGTAAACTCAACTTTGTTTTGTGTGTGTGTGTGAGAGAGAGAGAGAGAGAGAGAGACAGGCTCTCACTGTGTCGCCCAGACTGGAGTGCAGTGGTGCCATCATAGTTCACTGTAACCTTGAACTCCTGGGCTCAACCAATCCTCCTGCCTTAGCCTCCCAAGTAGCTGGGACTACAGGCGCATGCCACAACACCTAGCTAATTTTTAATTTTTTTTGTAGAGTTGGGGTCTCACTTTGCTGCCCAGTCTGGTCTCAAACTCCTGGACTCAAGTAATCCTGCTGACTAAGCCTCCCAATGTGTTGGATTACAGTGTGAGCCACTGCACCTGGCTTGCCATATCCGATGAAGTCTGTTGCTTCTTCCCAAAAAGAAGCCAGAAATCTCAATTACATCCCACTGTTAAGAAACTAATATTTGTCATTAACAGAAATAGGCCAACATAGGGACTATGTGGGTAGCCCTTGCTTTTATTTGTAAAGGTGTCATCGTATGCTGAGTGGCCAGTCACTCACTGCAGGCAGGCAGTTTCTTGTCCACAGGAGAAGTCGGTAACTACAGCCAGGCCTTGCTGAACTGGGGGAAGGCATTGTGTCACTCATGGAAACCAACATTGAGTGGGAGGACCCTAAAGAAGATGAGCAAGGGAGTTCGAGTCCCCCAGCAGGTGGTGTCTGGGAAGCCAGCTTCTCCACGGCAGGGCATGTGATGATGGCCTCCAAGTGGGGGCAGCCAGGAGCTAGAGAGAGAAGAACCAAGGTGAGGGGCTAGAGTGGCAGCATCTATTTACTTATTTGTTTGTTTGAAATAGGGTCTCTCTATATTGCCCAGTCAGGACTGAAACTCCTGGGCCCGGGTGATCCTCCTGCCTCAGCCTCCTGAGTATCTGCAGAATGGATTCATGGGATAGGGCCTGCTGGCCTTTGGTGAAGTTGGCCTGGAAGGATGAGGAGTCCTTTGTAGGCCAAACCATTGTTATGGACTGTTAGGGAATGTGGGTGTTTGTGGGTGTGTGCATGTACTCGCGACAGTTATGTGCCCTCGTTCTTTTTCTATTACTAAGTCATAGAAAAGGCTGAAAATTCCCCTCTGTTTCATTTGTTTGGAAGGGAACAAAAAGAGAGGTTTTGATAAGATGTAGGCTGCAGCTTCAGAGAGGTACCATCAGGGTACGGTATTCCTGGGGCCAGGGTGGTGGTGCCAGCGGCAGTCAAAGGTGGACAGTCCTCAAAGGGAATATAAACGGAGGCAAACAGATTTGGGAACATTTGGTCCCTGTTTGTTTTGAATTTTTCTTGTTAAATATTTCTGCCGGGTGTGGTGGCTCACACTTGTAATCTCAGCACTTTGGGAGGCTGAGGCAGGTGGATCACCTGAGGTCAGGAGTTCAAGACCAGCCTGTCCAACATGGCAAGACCCTGTCTCTACTAAAAATACAAAAATTAGCCGGGCGTAGTGTTGCACGCCTGTAGTTCCAGCTACTCGGGAGGCTGAGGCAGGAGAATCGCTTGAACCCGGGAGGTGGAGGTTGCAATGAGCCAAGATCGTGCCACTGCACTCCAGCCTGGGCAACAGAGCCAGACTCCATCTCAAAAAAAAAATGGCTCACGCCTGTAATCCCAGCACTTTGGGAGGCCGAGGCGGGCGGATCACAAGGTCAGGAGATCGAGACCATGGTAAAACCCCGTCTCTACTAAAAATACAAAAAATTAGCCAGGCGCGGTGGCAGGCGCCTGTAGTCCCAGCTACTCAGGAGGCTGAGGCAGGAGAATGGCGTGAACCCGGGAGGCGGAGCTTGCAGTGAACCGAGATCGCGCCACTGCACTCCAGCCTGGGCAACAGAGCGAGACTCCGTCTCAAACAAAACAAAACAAAACAAAAAAACAAAACAAAACAAAACAAAAAAACAAAATGACAGTCCCCTGTCCCACCTTTCTCTTTTACGAAGTCCTCTTCCCCAGAATCTTGTAGCTGTTTCTTCCAGTAATTTGCCGCATTCTTTCTAAATAACGTATGTGGACATCATCTTAGAGGGGATGGACTCCAGCAGGACGTGCTCATAAAACAGTTGCATCCTCCCGCTCACCACTGAGCATGTCAGCTCTGGGGGCCTTTTCTTTCTCACCCTCTGGGTTCAATCTAGGCAGGGCCCAGAACTTTTTCTTGTCACACTCAAATAACATAAAATCTTCCTGGTCTAATTTCAATGAGTGCAATGCCTGGTACAAAACTCTTCAAAAGTGTCCTGATCAAAAAAAGACTGAGTAAGGCCAGCAAACTACCTCAATTAAAGGAGACTGAAGAGGGGTGACAACTTGAGTGCATGATGCTAGGACATGCTGGGCTACAGAGACATTTTGGGGACAAGTGAAGAAATTTAGTGTGAACTGTAGATTAATAATAGTATGATATCAGTGTTGAGTTTCCTGGTTTTGATCATTATAACTCTGGTTGTATAAGACACCTTTGCTTTCTGCTGCCCCATTTCAAATGACTGCAGACTCATGTATTATCTCACAGCTCTGCAGGTCGGGAGTCCAGGTGGGCCTGACCAGGTTCTCTGCTTAGGGTCTTAGCCCAAACCAAGGGGCAGACAGGCAGGCTCCTGTCTGGAGGCTCTGAGCTCACTTACGCTGTTGCCGGAATCTAGCTCCTTGTGATTCTCCTGCTGCCTGTCAGCGGGGAGCACTCTTAGCCCAGAGGCTGCTCTCGGGTGCTTCCCTGTGGCCCCCTCCGTGCTCAGGCCGGCAGCAGTGTGTGGAATCGTCATGTGCTTTGAAGCTCTGACTTCCCGGTCTGCTGCCAGCTGAGAACAGCACCAGCTTTTAAAGAGCTGTGTAACTAGGTCGGCACCACCAGCTAATCTGCCTTTGCTGTGCAAGGTAACGTGATGACAGTGTGACCTCTCATCCTGTTCAGAGTGCCCTCACCTCAAGGGGAAGGGGTTAAGCCAGGGTGAGGGCCCTGGAGCCCATGTTCGAATCCCACCTACCACCTGTTAAAGGGTCCTTTTTTGTTGGGCAATACACATGAAGTACTTAGGAATAAGGGGGGCATGCAAACAATTTACTCTCAAATAGTTCACAAAAATATTGTAGCTATATGTATAGACCGAGCAGGGGAGCGTGCCTGTGAGCTCACAAGCATGCCAGAATACATGGGGCAAAATGTCAATGGTTGGAGTTCCTTGTGTTGTTCAATCTTTTCTGTAAATTTGAAATTATATCAGAAATTTACCAAAAGGAAAATTTAGGAAACAAAAGCCCCGTCTCTGTGTTGTGGCAGAAAATCTGGACTTCACTTAACACTCGATTCTTGCCTTCCCCGCCTCAACCTGCTGCAGGTGTGGAATCTGGACCCATGCCATAGGAAGACCGGGGCTCCTCTTCTCCCACCCCCTGCTGGTTTCAGAATTTCTGACTCATCCTCAGTGGGAATGGCATTGGTGGGTGGGTGGGAGAGGTGTGAGAAAGGTTTCACCTGACATGTAATCTGACACCAGCTACTTAGTGCCGTAGTCCTTTAAAGCTGGTTCTCTTGTTTGGGCGTTTGTGGGTTCTGCAATACCCCTGGCCAGGCACTGAGACCCTCTCGCTTGCAGTTACCTGGACATGGGTGAACGTCTGCCCTGGCAGCCTGTCCATATAGGCACCTTCACAGGGGAGCATCACACCAGTAGCCAGCCGTCACGGGCAGGCCCCACAGACAACGCCAGGCCTCTTCTCATTCCCCATGTGGCCCACATCTGAACCATGGGAGCACTTCCAGACCTTGCGCTGTCACAGATCTGGGCGTGTAGGCCATTCTCCACATGGCCACCTCCAAGGCACCCCGTGGCTACTTTAGTCTTACCCAGGCCTGGACTGGTGGCCCCTCACAGCTCCCAGAGATACAGGTCAGGTTAAGGGAAAGGGCACACCCACCGCTCCCCATAGTCAGAGAGAGAGGCTCACAATACCTTTGACAGTGCTTTCCAGAGACATCCCTGGTGCCCAGCTTCCTGGCTCCTTCAGGCTCAGCTCTGTGACTCCTCTCGATGGGTGCAGGGTGGAGCCACAGCCCCCGGCCCTCAGCCATTCTCTTTCCAGGTCATGTGTCTGTGTCTGACTTTGGAATGCAGAAGAGCTGGCTCCTACTTTTGGAGGCTTTCAGCCAGAGCAGGCATCCAGAATCACACTTTAATACCCTGTGGCCTATGTTTATTCTATTCCTGATTTATTGATTTTAGATATTCTGTTGATTCCTACTGTGGAAGATGGAGATACGGCCCTGTTACATCACCTGGGCCCCCACTTCTCTTCCCTCCATCCTCTCAGAACAGGTACATCATACTTTTTTGGTTAAATTAGTATCAATTATTTGCCCAGTTATGATTATGTATGATTTACTGCTGAACAAGGTGGTGCATTGTGATGGTGTTTCCTTCATTGTCGGACTCTTCCCCCTCGAATTGGAAAATTTTTTCTTTTTTCTTTTTCTCTTTCTTTACCCTCATCAGTTCTTCCCAGACTCTCCAGTGGAATTATAAAACTCCTCCGAAGAGTCTTTTCCACGTGATGGGACATCCTGTGATCTCTCCATTTCATTCTTTCTCTGGAGACTTCGCTCCCAGGGTCTTCTCCTCCCCTGCTCTGTCTAACCTAGGCAGCCTTTAGGCCTGCGGCACACCTGTGCTCTGAGATGTGCCTTTTCTCTCCCCCATTTCCCGAGTCTGTCTCTTCTTTTGTGGTTGACATCTTCATCTTGTTCGTGTACGTCTTCCAGTGGCTTCCTAAGGAAGGGTGCAGGGGAGGCCTTCTTTCTGTGATGCATCCTGTCTAAAAACATCCTATTCTTCCCTCACGATTCAGTGATAACTTGTTTGGGCCTAGGATTCTAGGCTGGAAATATTCTTCCTCAGCATTCTGAAAGCATTGCCCTTTTAGGTTTTATGGGTGCTGTTGAGAGGTCTAGTGCCTTCTTATTTCAGAATCTTTGAACACGACTTAATTGTTCTACTCCAAAAGCTTTTGAAATTGATTTCAGTTTTCTCAGATTTTTAATGATATGTCTTGATGTTTTATATAAAGTGTGTTTTTAATCTTTTGTTTTGGGTATCTGGTGTTTCTCTTCCTTGTGGAAACTGGTCTTTTCCTGTTTGGGAAAATTTTCTTGTAGGATTTCCTCCTATCTATTTTCTCTTTTCTTTCTTCCAGAAACTCCCTTCTATTAGTTTGATATCGGACTTCCTGGATTGAGTCTTTGGTTTTCTGTGTGTTTCTTTTTCTCCTATTTTCTGCTTTTATCTTTTCTATACTACTTTCTTGGACATTTCCTCCAGTTTATTTTCTGACGATACTATTTGTTTTTTATTCTATTGGGTTTTTTTTTTTTAGTTTCTAAGCACTCTTATTGCCTCTTTCATGAATGGCTATCATGACTTTTCTTTCTTGGGAATATTAATTCTCATTATTTTGAAGTTTTGTTTTGCTTCCTGCTGTATTTCAAGTTCTTTTAAATATTTTCCTACTTGTTTTGGTTTCTCTCTTTCATGTTAGAAGCTTTTCTTAAATAATTTTTTCCAGGTTCATTCCTATGTAGAAGTAAGCCTTTACAAATGGGCTGGAAGCCCTGTGCATGGTTGTAGGCCTGTGCGTGGCTGGGAAGCATCAAGAGTAGGTTTCACTTTCCACTGTAGGGTGACCAGCTGTAAACCCAGATGTCTTACTGAAGAACCCACAAAAGTCAGTGTCCATAGATCTTTTGAGGGGAGAGGGAAGGGCAATTCCATTTTTCCGAAGAAAACGCTTCCTGTCTCTTGTTTGGAGGGTATGATAAGCCCAGCCAGCATTCTTGGAGTCGAGCACCGCACCCCTCAGTCCATAGACATGACTCAGTCTCCCTGCTTTCAGTATGCACCACCCCTTCACCTTTCTGTGTACGTGGTATCTGGGATCTGGAGCCTTTCTGGGTAAGTTTTTCTGTAGACCGAACCTCTATTCTCCTCTGGGGTGTGGTGGTGGTGGTTCCTGGTTTCCTGGCATAGGTAAGAGGATCTGGGATTGATCAGATCTCTGTCAGACTTGAGCCAGTCCACTGCTCCCGCCCATTCCCCACCCACCACCTTCTCCCATATCTGGTGCCTGCAGTTTCTGAATCTTTCTGGGATTCTCTGGTACCAGCCAACTTGCTTCTCCTTGTTAACCCATCTGTAGGCATTTGGTGTTCAGCTCTGTTCGTTTCTCTCTCTTTTGTCTCCTTTCCTTCCAAAAAATGGATTTGCATTCCTAATCCAATTTCTCTTGGTCTTATACCTCATTTTGTTATTATTATTCCTTTGACCTCATTTTAGAGATATTTTAAGAAGAATATATGTTCAATCTAACACACTTTAGTAATTTACTTATTTATATTTTTATTAGTAAATACGTAGATATTCACACACACATATATGTATCATTATATATATAAATATATTCAAATGATCCAAAGATGAATGGTGGGAACCAGCCTCCCTTTTCCCTTGTCCTTCAGTTCCTCTCCAGGAGCACCCACAGGCCCAGTTGCTCGTGTGGCCCTCCACAGAAAGTTTATGCACACATTCACACAGACATGCACAAAAGCATGATGTAGATAGTGATGGATTTTATTTTCAATAGAGGAAATGGTTTATTTGCATACCCCTGAACAATATTCCTATTTTAAGTAAAGGGCAGTGCTTAATCCAAAGACCCAAATCTCCTTTAGTCAGATTTCAGGCTCCATTGCAGATGGTAGGTATTTCGGGGGGCCTCCAAGTGCCCCTTTCAAAAACCCATGTAGTTGGTCACCTTCACAGAGGCCGGGCAGAGGGGCACATAGGTGGGCCAGCTGTGGGGACAGAGGGGCATATGCGTGGGCCAGCTGTGGGGGCAGAGGGGCACATGTGTGGGCCAGCTGTGGGTGGGACCTTCCACTTCTCACATGGCTGCTGCTTCCCCTCCTGCTTAGTCCCTGTGGTTCTTCCTGTTTCTACCCTTCCCCCTCTGGTGTGTATGGCTGGCCCGTGGCTCCCAGGGCTGGCCCATGGATCTGTGGAAGTCCCATCCTAGCTGAGGGGTGCCCCTCCCCTTACTGCCTGTTTGGCACTCTGGGTTTGCGCTCCGCCTGCCCTTGGCCGACTAGACTTTATAAGGACAGAACCCAGAGACACCTCTGTGTATTTCAGGGGCTGGGTCTAGCTTGAGAGGGCTACTCGACTTGGCCACAGCAGTGACATCAGCATGATTCTTCATCCTTGCCACAGGACCTGCTGCTGCCAAGCCAGATTTGATCTCCAAACTGGAGCGGAGGGCTGCACCCTGGATCAAGGACCCAAATGGGCCAAAGTGGGGGAAAGGTCGTCCTCCAGGTGAGTCTAAACCTACAGCCTTCTGAAGGACGTGCCAGGGCCCAGGCGGCTATGATGAGTCAAACAGCATGAGCTCAGCCGTGTCCATCCAATGGGGGCCGATTGGGCACCAAGCCTGGCAGGAGGCCCTGGGTAGACAAGATGAAAAAGCAACTAACCCTGCCCACAGAGTGTAGAGTAGTCTGGGAAAGTGGGAAAAAACAGGTCCTTTTGTAAGCAGAAGTGCTGATGGAGGCTGTGGCAGAGCTGGTGGGAGCAGGTATGTGGGAACACTGATCTCGAGGAGCCAGGGGACCCATCTGTGAGCCTCTCATCCCTTCTCCCTCCTTCTCCAGTGCTCAGTGACAGCACCATTGGTTTGTGAGAATTTGTTGTCTTGCGTATCTCAATCAGTAACTTCTTGGCTTGTAGCTGCTACACTTACTTCTGTACCTAATTCTTTCTGAGGCTCGTAAAAGACTTGGCAGGTGTTTAACCTATTCCATTGTGGAGCCTCACACGAGAGTGAAAGCCACTTGCTTATCCAACAGTCTCTGTGGCCAAGGGGGTTAATTGAACTTACTGGTATCTGGTGTCACATGATCCCAGGGTAGCTGTGTGGATAGGGTGGTTGGGGTGCTGGTGAAAGAACCCACAAGGATTAGCAACAACTCTGGGAGAGCCAGATTAACTTTCATAGGTAAGAATGGGGGAGGGTTTAAGTGGACGCCACTAATGATCTCTAGAAAGAAGGATTGCACTCATCTTTTCTGCCTTACTTAAGGGATACTTATTAAATTTGGGGGTGTCTTAGCTGATAGAAGACTGCAGAGTCCTGGGTAGCAGAACCAAGCATGATTTAATTTTCTCCAAAGGGAACAAGAAGATGGTGGCAGTGAGAGAGACAGACACACAGGCCTTGGCTGCAGACTCTGCGTTGCTTCCAGCCTCTCCCGTGGAGGCCCATGCCTCCTGCTGCAGTCCCAGCATTTGTGAAGGAGAAGGAGATGGACCTAGGAGAATCAAGAGGACATATAGGCCCCGTTCCATTCAGAGGTCATGGTTTGGGCAGTTCCCATGGTTAGTCATTGACCCCAAAGAGACCAAACTCTTCTGCTCAGCCTGCAAAGAAAGACCTAATCTCCACGACAAATCATCTCGGTTAGTCAGAGGTTATACGGGGCCTTTTAAAGTGGAGACTTTAAAATACCATGAAGTCAGCAAAGCCCACAGGCTGTGTGTGAACACGGTTGAAATCAAGGAAGACACTCCTCACACTGCCCTCATTCCAGAGATCTCCAGCGACCTCATGGCCAACATGGAGCACTTTTTCAATGCCGCCTACTCCATCGCATACCACTCAAGGCCCCTGAATGACTTTGAGAAGATCCTGCAGCTCCTCCAAAGCACCGGGACCATGATATTAGGCAAGTACCGCAATCGCACAGCATGCACTCAGTTCATCAAGTACATCTCGGAGACCCTGAAGAGGGAGATCCTGGAGGACGTGCGGAACTCGCCCTGCGTGAGCGTGCTGCTGGACAGCTCCACCGACGCCTCCGAGCAGGCCTGCGTGGGGATTTACATCCGCTACTTTAAACAGATGGAGGTGAAAGAGTCCTACATCACTCTGGCCCCTCTCTGCAGTGAGACAGCAGACGGCTACTTCGAGACCATCGTTTCTGCCCTGGATGAGCTGGACATCCCCTTCCGGAAGCCTGGCTGGGTGGTGGGGCTGGGAACGGATGGCTCAGCCATGTTGAGCTGCAGAGGAGGCCTTGTGGAAAAGTTCCAGGAGGTCATCCCGCAGCTGCTGCCTGTCCACTGTGTGGCCCACCAGCTGCACCTGGCTGTGGTGGATGCCTGCGGGAGCATCGATCTGGTGAAGAAGTGTGACCGGCACATCCGCACCGTCTTCAAGTTTTATCAGTCGTCAAACAAGAGGCTGAACGAGCTGCAGGAAGGTGCAGCGTCTTTGGAGCAGGAGATCATCCGCCTGAAGGATCTGAACGCAGTCCGCTGGGTGGCCAGCAGGAGGCGCACGCTGCATGCGCTGCTCGGAAGCTGGCCCGCCCTGGCCAGGCATCTCCAGAGTGTGGCGGAGGCTGGGGGCCAGATTGGGCACCGGGCCAAGGGGATGCTGAAGCTCATGCGCGGCTTCCACTTTGTCAAGTTCTGCCACTTCCTGTTGGACTTCCTGAGCGTTTACAGGCCTCTGTCCGAGGTGTGCCAGAAGGAGATCGTGCTGATTACAGAGGTGAACGCCACGCTGGGCCGGGCCTATGTGGCACTGGAGAGCCTCCGTCACCAGGCGGGGCCCAAAGAGGAAGAATTCAACGCCAGCTTCAAGGATGGGCGGCTCCACGGCATCTGCTTGGACGGACTGGAGGTAGCGGAACAGCGGTTCCAGGCAGACAGGGAGAAGACGGTCCTGACCGGGATCGAGTACCTCCAGCAGAGGTTCGACGCAGACCGACCCCCACAGCTCAAGAACATGGAGGTGTTTGACACCATGGCCTGGCCAAGCGGGATCGAACTTGCCAGTTTTGGGAATGATGACATTCTCACGCTGGCCAGGTATTTCGAGTGCTCCCTCCCAACAGGATACAGTGAGGAAGCTCTGCTGGAGGAGTGGCTGGGCCTGAAAGCCATCGCCCAGCACCTTCCGTTCTCCATGCTCTGCAAAAACGCCCTGGCCCAGCACTGCCGCTTCCCCCTGCTGAGCAAGCTCATGGCCGTGGTGGTCTGTGTGCCCATCTCCACCTCCTGCTGTGAGCGGGGGTTCAAGGCCATGAACCGGATCAGGACTGATGAGAGGACCAAGCTCTCCAATGAGGTGCTCAACATGCTCATGATGACGGCTGTGAACGGCGTGGCCGTCACGGAGTACGACCCTCAGCCCGCCATCCAGCACTGGTTCCTGACCTCCTCAGGCCGGCGTTTCAGCCATGTCTACGCCTGTGCCCAGGTGCCAGCCCGCTCCCCTGCAAGTAAGTACACGTGGCAGAGCTCCCCCAAGGCAGGGGAATCTTGCCCTCCAGCCCTGTGCTGAGCCAGAGGCCAAGAAGACAGGACTGCAGGTGCCTGTGGAGCTTCTGTCACGCGCCCACCCATTTGCTAGGCCAGTGGGTACTCGATGCGTGACGTCCACCCTCCAGGACCTTGTGCCCCTGGCAGGGAGATGACACACTTGTGCTCTAGGCAGCAGAGCTTAGTGCAGAGAGCATGCATTTATAGAGCCTGTCTGCCCTGGTGACAGTGCTGTGCTGGCTCTGCCCCCAACTGGCTGTGTGGCCTTGGGCAAGTTTATCCCCTTATGCCTTGGTTTCTCATTTGCCAAATGAGTGGTGCATGTAAAGCACTCAGGACAATGCCTGGCAGGTGGTGTAAACGGCGCTAGTTAAAGGTCAGGACCACTGCTGGGAGTAAGGAGAGGGCTGACCAGCCCCAAGCAGCGCCATCACATTCTAAGTGGGGCTGATTGACTCTGGACTGGGCAGGAATTTTCAAGAGGGAAGAGGTCCACGTGGCTGTGGAGGAGGTGAGATGCGGAGGAGATGGTGGGGCTTTCAGGCAGGAATCTCACAGGGCAGGGGAGAACAGAAACAGCCTCTCTGGACCGGAGGGCTAGGGTCAGGGACTTGCTTGAGGGGGAAGCTGTATTAGAAGGGAGGGAAAGTTACTGAAAGCCGCAGACAAGAAATGTTCTGTCTTCAGGTAGTCACTGAAAACCAAAGAAAATATGCCGGTTGTTGGGGTTCTGCAGACCACTCATAGTCACTTGACAAGGATGGAGCAGTGTTCTCTCTCCTGGCGTCTCTAGCTGGTCTCCTTCCAGCTGTTGCTGCTCCCAGTTTTCACCTCTGAGTCTGTGGTCATCAGAAATGGGACTGGGTCTCATGGTTGACAGAGGGTCTGTAGGAAGCAGGGTGGCCCTGAAGCCACAGTAGGGCCGGTGAGGAGAAGAAAAGAGACCCTTCACTGATAAGGAAAAGGGAGAACCGAGAGAGGGCTGGGTGAGCCCCTCACCCAGGCATTTGTTGAGTGAGTTGCTCTGTGTCCAGCCCTGTGGGTGCTAAGGAGAAAAAAATGATTGTCAGGTGTGCCCTGGAGCAAGTTACTCTTTCCACAGGGAAAATGAGACCAGCACAGATTGGTCCAAACACTACCAAACTACGCACTGATGCCTCCTTCCAGGCAGGGCTCTCAGCCTCAGCATTGTTGACACTGGTGCTGGGTAATCTTGGTTGGGGGGTCCTCCTGTTCACTGTGGGAACTTGAGCAGCATCCCTGGCCTCTACCTATTAGATACCGACTGGATACCGGTAGCACACCCCCCATTTGTGACAACAAAAATCATCTCCAGACATTAGCAAATGGTCCCTGGGGAACAAAATCACCCCCAATTGAGATCCCCTGTCTTAGGATAAAAGAATGAACGGAGCAGGAACAGATGTGGGCTGCAAAGAGCAGTCCCGGTCCTGTCTCCCGTCTGTCCCGCCAAGCTTTCCTCACCAAACAGCCCCTGGGCGAAGTCGGATGTGGAAGGCAGTCACTGTCGGTCAGTCTAATTGCCTTCTCCTTCCTCCCCACAGGCGCCAGGCCCAGGAAGGAGGAGATGGGAGCCCTCTATGTGGAGTCTGGGAGCCAGAAGCCACCCATCGTGCCCTCCAGGGCAGCAGTGGAGGTTCTGAAGGACTGTATCATGGAGCCTCCCGAGAGACTCCTGTACCCCCACACTAGCCAGGAGGCCCCCGGGATGTCCTGAGGGACAGGGAGTCCTTGGGACTGCCTTGGAGACGCCTCTGGGATCACTGGGACAGGCTCTGCAGATTCTAGGCTGCCCTAGGATCTTCTGCTGGTGGCGATGGTCTCTAAGCACCAGGAAGTGGGCCGTGGCGTCCCGGAGCAGCAGGGGTATTAGGAGGTGCATGACCTGTTTCCTGAGGCCCATTCAGCACAGCCATGCCTCACAGCACACAAATGTGCCAGAAGGTTCTAGATCTCAAGTTCATTTTTAAGGTGCTCCAGAAAATAACCCCATCATGAAAGGTTTCAGCCCCTGAGTTCTGGTGGCAAGAGGACTGTCCTGGTGGGGGAGACTGATGGACATCCCTGGGGAATGTTCCAGGGAGGCTGCCCACAGCCTAGTGAGAATGGGAAAGGCCACTTTGTTAGAGGGGAGGCTGACTCTGCTCTAGGGACAGCTGGCCTGGCTGCAGGAGCCCCCAGAGGCATTGTTCTGGGACTTCCTACCCTGGCTCCCGCAGCAGAAACAGTGAGGCCTCGATCTCGTGCGGATCTGTACCTCTTCCCAGGGCTTCCTTCAGGGCGAAACAATCACAAGCCCTTTGCACAGAGCACCCAAGAAAGTTCTCTTCCTGCAGCTCCAGATGGTAGAGCTGGGGCTCTTCTGGCAGGGGGTCTGGTGCTTCCCGCAGAGCCCAGCCGCGTTTGACCTGTGGCACGCCCAGCCCGGTTTCCTCAGGAGAGGATGGGACCAAGTTGGAGTTGGGAGGCTTGGGATGCAGCCCCAGCTCTGCTGCAGGCAGTGGTCTGATTAATCCCTTCCTCTTTTCTGTGCCTCAGTTTCCCTCTCCATGAAGTGGCAGCAGAGAATCCAAGTGCCTGCTGACTCCCCACCTGCCCTAGGATTAGTGAATGAGAGCCTCGGGCTCCTTGAAAGACCTCTGACTGCAGTGTGGACTTATCTGCCTTCCGCCCCATTCTCGTCCTTAGTGGGACAGGTAGGAATTTGTCTCCAAAGTCCTTGTTGTAGGAGTTGCTCTCTGAATGCACCATCTGCCTGACAGGCTAGTCCACTCTTCTCCGAGTTGCCCTGGGGACTCTGCACCAGGATCGCCAGGGCCCACTGAGACATCCCGGAATGGGGACTCAGTGACAAGGGCTTTGAACAAGCTCCTCCAGGGTCTGTGGGCCTGCTCCCGCTTCAGAACCACAGAAGCACCCCCCTAGAGGCACAGAGGGGCTTCCGGCACTGCTAGGTTCACACCCTCCTTGCCCATCTTCCACCTAAAGCGAAGCACTTTTCCTTCCGGGGCAGCTCCATCTTGGCAGGCTCAGGAGGCCGCTTATCAGGAGGGGGATGATTTTGTCTAGGTTCTGCCTTCCTTAACCATGGGCAGGAAATAAGGAAAGTCAGCACGCAGGGCTTCTCTGCCCTGCCTGACACTTGTTTTAAACAGGCAGGAAGTGGGTGCCATCCATCCCAGCTTGCTTGCTGCCTGGCTCAGGCAGGTCCTGTGCTGTGCTGCAGGCCCCTGTGGGTGGGCCCTTTCTCCATAATCTGCTGCTTCCCATTCCCAGGGTAGATGCTGGCATCTGAGCACCTGAGTCCCTTCCTATTCCCAGGGTGGAAGCTGCTGTCTGACTACCCTTCCCATTCCCAGGGTAGATGCTGGCATCTGAGCACCTGAGTCCCTTCCTATTCCCAGGGTAGAAGCTGCCGTCTGAGTACCCTTCCCATTCCCAGGGTAGATGCTGGCGTCCAAGCCCCTCCCCAGTACTGCAGGTGCCCTAGTACCCCATATGCCCTTTCATCCCCCACCCCAGCACTTAGCCTCAGCACTGTTGTTTTCCTGCCGTTTTCAGTTCTAGTCAGGAATTCCTTTCTTGCTTTCTGCCTTTGACCTGTGGAAACGTCTCCCAGCCCTGTGGGTCTGGCGGTCAGAGGCACCCCTCAGGCCTGTGGTGCGGGAGCTCTGGGAGGTGTTACTATCCACGTGGCTAAGACATGCACAGGCCTCCCTCTCTCCATCACCGTCTCCATGGGTGTTCAGGAACTTGCCCAGGTCAGGCACTGTGGATGTGAACTGGTGGAAGGGGAGGGAGAAAGGCTTTTTTAGGTGGGGCTGTAGCCTCTTCCCTACCCACAGGGATTCCACATCAAGGTGCTGTTCCAGCACACACGCTTCCTGTGGCCTCTTCATCCTTGAAGAATCTCTCAGAGCAGGGGGCCATCCTGTGAGCAGCCGTGAGTGGGTCTCTGTGGGAGCAGTTCTGGAGCTGAGGTGGAAGCCAGGGGAAGCCCCTCGCCCTCTCCACGTCAGCATCAGCGTGCTCCGAGGACACCGTCCAGTGCCTTCCTTAGGTGGTGGGAAAAGCGGTCCCCTTGCAGCGGGGCCACTGAGAACACTACCCGATTTCTCGAGGGGCGCAGGCCTGCTCCGTTCCCCTTTGTCAGCCAATGACCAAGAAGGAAGAAGATGACTGCCGTCTCATTCCTGAACTTCCTCATTCAGGACTCCCGTGGAAACACAGTGAGCGTCCTTATCCGAGGCCCCGGCCCAGGCCGGCCCCTTTGCTTTGTTTGGAGAGGCTGGCTGAGTTTTGGCCCCTAGTGCCCAGAGACCCCCTTGTTGGAGAGGCTTCCTGTTCATGCCTCACAAGAAGAAGAACCACAGGGCTCTGGGAGTGGAAGGAGCACGCACTCCCGCTTTGGCTGGAGTCCCAGCGCTTGTCGCCACCTTCCTCCTTGCCTGTAGTCTTGACAGCATCCGTATGTACGTGTCCTGGCATTTCCCCCCCCCTCCCTGATGACTGATGCCCACCGGGTCTGACATTCCAAGTAACCAGTATGTAACTGGTAGTTTGATCCCAGTAGCCATAGCGACTCCAGGTGGGAGAGAGGGAGCCAGCCCCCTGTCCTGGAAGATACCTTAGAGTATGTGACCACGCTCCAGAACCTTGCTTCTCTCTCCTGCAGAGGGTGGGTTTCTGGGGTGCTAAGTACCTACCAGAACAGCGTGGAGGGGCAGGTACACTAACTGGCCCAGGGATGTTCTCTCCTCCATTTTCAAAGATGAAAGGAGGTTTTAAAGACCATGTTTGATTCCTAATCTTTTGCTACCTGAATAAAGCAGAGTCTATTTCAACACATCTCTGTCTTGTGTGTCCCTAAGCAAGGACCAGGAGCTCGGAGAAGTGGACGGAACGAGCTCTGCCCTCGCTCAAGAGGGGACAGGGCCAGGAACAGAGGTGGGCAGGGGAAGTGCCTGTGTGTTCACCTGGTTTTTGTCTTTCAGTTTCTTTCCTCTCTAGTCCTTCATAGTGAGCTCAATCATTTTTGCCAGATAGAAGGCAGAGATGAGAGTTGGCTGTTTGGTGAGTTATAATTAAGGGCTTGGCTGCCTTTTCTGGAGTACTGTATAGTTTACATAGTGCTTTTACATACATGATCTAATTTGGTTTACTGAAATTAAAAAGTTAGACTTTGAAGGAAAAAACATCGATTTCCACCAGTAGTAAAAGCTGCTGCATCAGACCTGTCACTCAACGGCGCTCCTTGAGGCCTAACTCCTGAGATCCCTCTGGCAAGCCCTTGCGGCCCCACATCCTCTGCGCGGCATGCTCCCACGGGACTGCAGCAAAGGTTTCAGAGACTCGGGATACAGCCAGATCTCTTTGGTGAGGAGACTCAATCTTACTCGAGTGTATGTGATTTTTTTAAAAAAGACATTGAAACAACTATCGAAGCAGAGGCACAGGCAGCAAGGCTTTGGGTTTGTGACTGGGAATCCGTGCGGCCTCCATGCGGTGAAGACCTGACCCCATGGTGGGGGTGAACAGGGTCTCCTTGACCCCTTCAAGGAAGATGGATTTCACTAGGGGAAGCACAGTGCCGGTAGCCTCCACGCTCAGGCTGGGGAGGGTAGGCTCCCAGGGAGGTAGCTCCCAGCGCAGCCTCTTCCATCACTCCAGCCGGAGCTAGAAGGAGAGAAGCGAGCTGAGGCTCTGGAAGGTGCTGCACTCCTGCCTTTCTTTTTCCCAAGGGTCCTCTTGACATCCGGAGTGCAGTCAGCAGGCCTTTCCGAGTGGGCTGGCTGCCTCAGATGCCTCAGCCCCTGTTGCTGGGGACGCTTCGGTGGGGCCTCCTCACTGTGGGCCTTCTCTTGGGTCAGTGTGATCCTCATGTCCCTTTCCCATGCCAGCGACACTCGTGGGCTTCATGTGGCTGGCCTCTGCTCCCAGGGCTCTGGAGATGCTGCCTCTGACTGCAGCTCCTGCCACGCTGGCACCTGTGTGGCCACTGCTCCCCTCTGCGCCTGGGAATAGCTGCCCAGAGACTTCCTGTTTTGAACCTTTTGCGTTGCACAGGCAGCCAGCAAGTGCCCTGGCACTCACAGCAACAGAAGGGCCCTGCAGTGCTGCGGCGGTGCTGGTGAGCCCAGATAACCTGAGAGGCGCAGACACACTGGGCACACTCCAGACAGGTGCAGGCCTCTGGGTAGTGACAGTTTGCAAGTGTTCCGTGGTCCTGGGCCCTGCACAGGCTTCTTGGCAGCCAAGAGAGGCTGTGTCTGCGTTTAATGTGCACACCTGAAAAAGCGGCCCCTCACTGCCTAGGCAGTGTCCTCCCACATCCCCAGAAGGGTCTCCCTGTGCCATCTGAGGTCCACTTAGTGGGAAGCCTTTGCCACACTAGGACACTTTCAGGGCCACTCTCCCACATGGATGTGCTCATGGATGGCCAGGGCTGTATGGCTCTTGAAGCTCTCCACACACTTGGCACCGATGGATGGCTTTTCCAGTGGAATCTAAAGGACTTGGGCATTCTCAGAGGCCAGTCTGGCCTTGGGGTTTTCCAGCTTCCCAGAAGCCTGCAGAATCATTCTGGGAGGTTCCCAGTTGCCTCCAGAATCATCTTCAGTCTCGTTTCTGACTTTGTTACCAAATTCTGTGGAAGAGAACTCAGATGTGAGCTTAGTGATGGGGACACACTCCTTTTGTTCGGTGTGACCTGCTCAGCCCCCAGCCCCAACGAGATGACGGCTAAGGGCAGCGTCCTGGGGATGCCGCAGCCAGGGCCAAGTGTGGGTCAGCATCCCAACTCAGAGGAGTGGCCCAGTTGGTCTGAGAATACTGAAGTCCCAGAGCCCTGGGTAGGGACTTCCGACCAGCGTTCTTCCTGCTCTCATTCTAACACACGTGAAGGGAATGTCCTGGTCCAGGGAGCCAGGGTTCTCTTGCTGCCATCTGAATTAATTCCCTGCAGCAGCCACTGCTGGACAGCAAGCTTGGCAAGCCTTCTTATGCAGAAATCAAAGTCATTTTTATAAAAAGTATCACAGAGTCCCTTATGAAGAGAGCTGGACAGAGCAGGAGCCGACCCTTCCCTGACTGCCCAGTTCAGTGAGCCAGGTTAAATATCTGCCGTCAGCAGCCTGCCATGAGGTACAGTGAGGACCTTCTACTTCATCCCTGCAAGCTGGGTTGTGTCATAAAATGCATACTTTATTTTCCTTCTTCCTGTAGAGAATCAGAAAGCACATGATGGAGGTTTCAGAAAAGGGCTTGTGAGATTGAGCATGTCAGAGCTGAAGATCTGTGGCTGTGAGACATGTCCTCCTGAAAGAGCACACGTGAGCTCACACAGCCACGGCACCGGGTTACCCTCACCCAGATTGTCCCCTCAGTGTAGCTTGTCTCCAGAGGTTTACACTGTGACCGTGTTTCTCACAGGTTACCCAAGCTCCTGTCGTAACGGCGGGAAACAGAAGTACAAAACCTGAATCCAAACCACAGAAGTGCTAGGACCCAGGAGGCACTAAAGGCTCAATGAATATGGTTACCTTTGTGCCAGAAATGTTCCATCAAGACTTACCTGGCTGAGTGGTAGCTTTCTGGCCTCTGTTGGGGGCTGGGAATTCTTCACCCAAAGCTCACATTCCCTTTCAAGTCTACAAGTGATCTCTGGTTTGGCAGCAGCATGCACCGTAGGGAGAAAGACAGCCGAGCGCCCCTAACCCACACCGAGCACACATAGACCCATGTCAGTCCTGAAGCTGCCTTGTACCACCCGTTTAATGCCCTGGGCTCACCCCATCAATTTGGGACAGGTTGGGTAGGTTGTAAACCTAAGAAAGCTCCAGAAACAGGCAGGGCCTGGCATACAGGTAGGAATGTTTATTTCAGGGCAATAACAGGAGTGCCAAGGGCTGATAAAACAGTGCAATTGTCATAATATGTTTTCCCACTGCCAGGGGCCCTTGAAGGAAAAACAGGCTCAACCAGTCACAGAGACAACCATGCTCTAGGTCTAGTTCTCCCTGACCCCACAGGCCAGGAGCGCCCCTATTAGATGGCAAGCAAGTAAGGGGCCAAGGTCCTCACCCAGCAAGACTCCCAGCTCCTAATTCCTTCTTGTCACATCCTGGTACAATTCCTTCTACTCCTCATGGCCACCAGAACAATGGGTGGGAGATAGGTGGTCACATCCTTAAATGTCACAGGCCTTACTTGCAAAGACCTGAGCACAAGCCCTAGGGGTGAGCTGAGAGTGTGGAGGAGACACTGGAGTAGGAAGGAGAAGCCTTGGCCATGTGTTTTGGCTCTTCTACTGATGAGCTGTGTGGGCCTAGGCAAGTTACTTCACTTCTCTGGGCCTCAGTTTTATCACCTGTAAAGCGATAGGATTGCCTCAGAGAGCCTCTAAGATCCCTTTCAGCTAAAAACAAAGTTCTAGAAAATAAATATGTGGTACTGTGGAACTCCGGGGAGCTGTCTGATCGGGTGAATAGTTTACCCATGGAAATGGGGCTCCGGCACAAAGCTGCTCACATCTTCTAGTCAGGCTCCAGGGAACAGCAAGAGCTTGTGGGCCCAGATGAGGCTTTAGTGGTTGGAAAAGGAGCCAGTTCCTGGTTTTAATCCCTTCATGGACCTCAGACTATCACAAAGCTGCCAAACAAATGACACATGCAATCACATGCAAATTAGGACAGAAATGAAACATCAAAAACATGAAAGGAAAGAGAGCTACAGGCTGCTAACATGAGTGGCTGCTCAGGCTCAGCACTGCTTTTGCTTCCGGCCAAAGCCAAGACAAAGGAGCAGAGGCAAGAAAGGAAATACATTGCACTCTACAGCTGTCATTTTATACAGAGATTTTTTTTTTTTTTTCCAGAACAAAATTCAAAAAAGTCCATCTTTTTTGAGCTACGGAACTTTCCTGGTGCTTTTTTTTTTTTTTTTTTTTTGAGATGGAGTCTCGCTCTGTCTCCCAGGCTGGAGTATAGTGCTGCGATCTCAGCTCACTGCAAGCTCAGCCTCCCGGGTTTACACCATTCTCCTGCCTCAGCTTCCAGAGTAGCTGGGACTACAGGCGCCCGCCACCTCGCCCGGCTAAATTTTTTGTATTTTTAGTGCAGACAGGGTTTCACTATGTCAGCCAGGATGGTCTTGATCTCCTGACCTCGTGATCCGCCCGCCTGGGCCTCCCAAAGTTCTGGGATTACAGGCGTGAGCCACTGCACCCAGCCCTCATGGTGATTTTTTGAAGGCCTCAATCGACAGCCTCTTAACTCTATCTCCTGGATGCCAAGTGCACCCTTATCCTAGGCCAGTGTTCTCAACAATGCACACACTCTGGATGAGAAAGATAACCATTGTTTACAAGCTAGCTAAACTCTCACCTCCTCGAGGGAGTCTTCCTGGATTTCTCCACCCTCTGAATTTTCATAATGGGCATTTGGCTACCTTGATCACAGGGCTCTTAGAACTGTGCTGGCCAGCATTATGATTTTACCAGAATATATCACTCCTCAACTACTTTAGAAACCCCTCGAAGGCTAAGATGGTATTTTATACCTAACAGTTTGGTGTCACCCCACGCCCACCCCCAACATGCATGAATTTAAAGGATGGATAGTGAGGTTTCAACTATGGAACAGAGAAGGGCGGATGTGACTGGTTCTTGCTTTCAGAAAACCGCCAGGAGCACACATCGCTGACGGGGTCAGTGCAAGGGCAGGCACATTTCCCTTCCGCATCACGTGGGGACTGCGCCTCCCCATGTCATGAAGCCAGGGAATATGTGTGGCCGGCTGCTTAGGGTAGCACTTGTTGCCAGAGACAGCGCCTGGAGGCCACTGGTCTGTAAAAGGGATCTCTACAGAAGATGCGGATTTTTGATTGCCACAGAAGGGATATGTGAGATCCAAACGCCCAAGGAGGAAAGCAGGCTCTGAAGTCTCTTCCAGCCCTGATGGAACAAACTACCGAGCCTTATTATGCTAGGTGTTTTCCACATGCCTATTCATTTAATCCTCCAGGAACCTTGTAAGAACGGCCATCCCATTTTATATTTAAACAAACTGTAGCTACTGACGCAAGGAGTCAGGGATCTAATCCCAAAGCCTCTGCCGGGTTCGCTACAGATGGATGTCCGCGAGGATGCCAGGCCTCCGCCTCCCGCCGGGTCTCTGAACGCCGGCTCGGCCGGTCCAACCTCATTCCGCTTCCCGCCACCGAGACGCGAAGCCCCCGCCTGCCCCCAAACGTCTCTGCGCCGCTGGCGCCTTTCTGGCTCCACCGCCTCCGACCCCAGGCCCCGGTCCCCGCCCGCCGCTCCGCTTGTCCTGGGAGTGAGGAGAACGCGTGCCGAGGACCCGGCCAGTAGGTCGGCGGGCACCGCCCTCCCGCTGCGTCTCTGAGGGCGAGGCCATTGCTCCCGCGTCAGACCCCCGCATGGCCGTCAGGTCCGGGGCGGCCCAGGCTGCGGGTCCGCAGGGCGCTTCGGGCCGAGCCGGCGGGGCGCGTACAGGCAGAGAACGCCCCGAAGACCGCTGGGGTGGGATCCCAAGCTCCAGGGGCTTTTGGAAATAAGAATGCGGCATGACGTTGGCTGTGTGGGCTCGGGGCGGACGCGGACGGCCTCACCCCGTCAACCTCGGCGTTTCTCTCGGTCCGCGGCCCCGCTCAGCCAATCAGCGAGTGGGCTCCTAGGCAGGTCTTGAGTGACAGCGCGGCGGGCTGGGTCCGGAGGTGCGCGTGCGCGGACCGGCCCGGCTGATCGCTTTGGGCGCTCGACTCCTGTTGCGCATGCTCAGCGCGCTGCCCGGCCGGGGACCCGCGCATCTGCAGCGCCCGCTGCTCGGCCCTGCATCCCACCTGGGCATCCTGCGCCCGGCCATGACGGCGCACTCATTCGCCCTCCCGGTCATCATCTTCACCACGTTCTGGGGCCTCATCGGCATCGCCGGGCCCTGGTTCGTGCCGAAGGGACCCAACCGCGGGTAAGGAAGGCGCACAGGCACTGCAGACCTCTCCACTCTGGCCCCTTGGCCGGGCTCTCCCCTCCGCCCCGGGGCGGCGGCTTCCTGCCCAGCAGCGAGCGTCCGCAGGAGGGACGCCAGGAACCCGGACGCCACCTGTGAGGTCTCTCTGCACCTGGGTCTCTGACAGCCGGGAACAGGCAGGAGGTGGGGCGAGAGGGCATATACAGAAGGTAAAGAGAAGAGTGACATTGGAGATGGCTGTCATCCCTCCTGCAGCCAGTAAAGGGCACAGGTGGCACTGACGCAGTTTCTCCACTCCTTGCTAGCTGTGTGACCTGGAGCCAATATCAAGTCTCAGTTTCTTTATGGGTAAAATGGAGATAATGTCGACTCCTGCCTTAAAAGGCTGCTGTGAGGATGACCTGCGGTAACGCATTTAAAACCCCTCGAGTGCATGGCACTTTGTAGGTATGGGATAAGTTTCGCTGGCGTTATTTTTCGAAGGTCCTCTAGCAGATTGCTGCGCCATTCACCAGTTTCTGCGTCATATTATCCTCAGTTGCAAAGCACCCTTCCCTTGACTGCATGTTCCCAGAGGCTGGAGTTTGTCCAATTCACCATTGTCTACCCAGCGCCCAGCCAGGACTGGCACAACCTGCTTAGTAATGTTGAAAAAGGGACCCAGTGCTCCTGTCTCCAGCACCAGCTTGCAGTGCTTTACATCAAAGATCAAGGGCCTGGTTTGGATTAGAGTTAGCTTTGCCCAAAGGCCCTTTGGACTTGTGAGTGCTGCCTTTGTTCTTAAAGACGAGCAAGGCTTGGGATCCCACAGCTTCACTTTGTAAACCATTTTCATGTCTTGCATCTCCTGCTAATCTTGGTGAGTTATCGCTTCAGTTTGACTGAAATTTCTTCTGCTGCACTTGAAGCTTCTGTCTCTGGTCTTTGAGTACACACAAAGTGGCTAGTCCCTGTTCTCTTTGTAACAAGTCACCGGGCCTCAGAAGTGGCTCACAGGCTGCCTGCTTCTTGTCCTGTCTTCTAGCCTATTGTTTTCCTTCCCCTTGCTCCATGAATTTTGAATTCCACAGACCACTCCCTGGTGGGTTTCCACAAATGCAGCTCTGAGCACTGCCTTTCCGCAACACATCTGCATTAAGATGGAGAAATACTGGGTGGTAGAGAAGGGAGATGAAGGGAAGGATTCTTAAGGCAACTTGGATGTGGTCAAGGTTGGCCTCTCTGTGAGGTGACACTTTCAGTTTTTATTTTCTGGCTTGCTATTCTTACCCTGAGTAGAACTCAGCCTCCTGTGTTCAGGAGGCATCAGGAAGGCCAATGGAAAAGAGCTGACACCAGGAGCTCTTCTTGCTCTGCTCCTGGCCAGGCATTGTGAGGTGCTGGCTGCATCTGTCCTGACCCGTGTCCTCTTCTGCTGCAGAGTGATCATCACCATGCTGGTCGCCACCGCCGTCTGCTGTTACCTCTTGTAAGTACTACTCTCCCCAGCTCAAAATCAGCCAGTTCCTTTGTCCTCCCTCCTTTCTTCTTCACCCTAGCCTGCTCTTCCTTCTGTCCTGGTAGTAAATGCCTTTTGAAAGGCTGAACCTATAAAACAACAGGAGTGGAGGTGGTGTGGAATGGGAAAGAGAGCAGTGGGCCAGAAGTCATGAACCCTGGGCTCTGGATCTGGCTCTGCCCCAGTGTTCTGGCCCTGTGGGCTGTAGTTTTCTCACCTGGGCAAGGAAGGAGTTGGCCACATCAGTGCTGTCTGTGCCTGACTGGGTCACCTGGAGTGATTGTTCAAACAGTTTTCAGGCTGCACCCTAGAGCCATGAAATTACAACTCTCGAGATCTGCACTTGGGAATTCCTGTTGTTCATGAATGCCCCCAGGTGACTGGAATGCAGCCATCTTAGAACCACTAGGTGAGAAGCCAGGCACGGTGGCTCACGCCTGTAATCCCAGCACTTTGGGAGGCTGAGGAGGGTGGATCACAAGGTCAGGAGTTCGAGACCAGCCTGGCCAACATAGTGCAACCCCATCTCTACTAAAAATACAAAAATTAACCAGGCCTGGTGGCGCGTGCCTGTAGTCCCAGCTATTCAGGAGGCTGAGGCAGGAGAATCGCTTGAACCGGGGAGATGGAGGTTGTGGTGAGCCAAGATCATACCACTGCACTCCAGCCTGGGCAACAGAGTGAGAATCCGACTCTAAAAAAAGAACCAGTAGGTGAGAGTAAGTCTTCAAACTTGGGATAGGTACCCTGGGGATATAGAAGAACATTCCCAGGGACTCGAGTACCTGGACAGTGTGAGGGAATCAGTTTCCAGATCCTCAGTGTCCATTGTTTGGTCTCTTGCCAAAACTGCGATTCACAATAGCCAATCCCTCTTTATTAAATTTTTTTAAAAAGGAAAAAGAAAAAGGCCCTGCCCCCGCATCCATCCCAATCCTGCTGTTACATTGCTCCGCGTTTAGATGGTCCTGGCTGCCAACCAAGAGATAAGTTCAAGTTCTAGTTTGCGGGGAGGCCTGTCTTGTGGTTAATTGAGCTGCATTAAGGCTGTTGGGCTTCCCATCTTCCTATGTCTTGTACATTATTTTTATGGGTTAAGCTTGGCATAGTTGGGTGTTCTTAGAACAGTCGAAACAGGACAGGTAAAGTGATGAGATGCTGATTCTTTAAGAGGTAATAGATTCTTTTGAAAGCAACTGGAATATTTTCCAGGGTTGCCAAATTTTTCAAATACATAAGACAAAACCCACTTTCAAAAAATTTACTTGATTGATTTCTGATTTGATGTATGTTATCATAGTTAAAACTATTTTATCTGATTAGATCATGGATTCTTTATTCCTATTAATCAATTCTCTTATTTTACCTTATGTTTTATTGATTGATTGATTGAAATGGGGTCTTGTCAAGACCCCTGGTCTTGAGACCAGGCCAGTATGGTCTCAAACTCCTGGGCTCAAATGATCCTTCTGCCTCAGCCTCCCCCAGGAGCTGGGATGACAGGTGCACACCACTGCACCTGGCTGTTAACTAATTAGTTAATTGACATGGTCTTACTCTGTTGCCCAGGCTAGAGTGCAGTGGTGGGATCATAGCTCACTGCAGCCTCAACCTTCTGGGCTCAAGCCATCCTCCCACCTCAGCCTAGCTTTGACCACAGGCGTGTGCCACCACGCCTCGCTGATTTTTAAATTTTCTGTAGGGACAGGGTCTTGCCATGTGGCTAAGGCTGTGCTTGAACTCCTTGGCTTAAGCGATCCTTCCACCTCAGCCTCCTGAGTAGCTAGGATTACAGGCACACGCCACTGCACCCAGAAATGTATAAGCCCTCCTACTGACAAAAACTAAACTTGTTAGAAATAATGATGACTCTTAACACGTGGTTTAACTTAAACACACTTTTTTTTTTTTCAAAATTCTTCCTAGACAGAGCATCTCTAAGGCCCTTTCTCTTAATGCTATTTCTAGGTCCTTCAGGGCTTGACAAAAGATTCTCACCTGCCCACGGCAGGGCCTCAGAGGAGCTTGGGTTTGGTAGCTGGGCGAGTGGGGGAGACGGAGTCTACACAAGATGTGGGGTAATCCCAAATACTGACCGAATCAACATACGGGAAACAGAAAGCACACTGCAAATTGGATGCATAGAGGTAGAAAGGTGGGGCCATTCTAAGAAAATGTTACACCTAGAAATTATATTTACAAAACATAAACTCAGAGAGAATGCTGATGTAAAGGAGGCAACAATTTCTCATGGCTTCCTGGGCGTTAGGTCCTCCTACCTACTGTGAGGGATTCATAGAGGAACAATATCGATCCTTCCTGCAGAAACAGACAAAGCAGTGTGGATGGTCATGGGGGGCAGAGCATGGGGACCTACTAACTACGGTGGCAATGAAAGTGGGAGCTTTGTCACGAATGACGGGCCAGACAGCCACCCAGACGTCCAACAGTGATGACAGGTGGGACCAGGTCCCTGAGGGTTTTCTGGCCTGAACAGCGGTGGCCTGGCAGCAGCCTAGGCAGGAGGCCCCGGACCCGTCAGCTCCTCACGTCTTGGGGTAGTTCCTTCTCTCTCCTAAGAGGAGATGATTCTGATGTGCTGCCTGCCAGGCCCACCCTGTTTGCTCTGGTGTGTGGAGCCTGGGGAGCCTGGACAGAAATGTCTGAGGGCACAGCTGGGAGTCGCTCCCAAAGCGCCCCTGAGGCTGCCTCCCCTCTTCCCTAACCCCAGGTTCAGCCCCAACTCGGGGATCCTTCAGATCTACCGAACATCAAATGAAACCGAAACCAAACCCACAAATGCCATACCAACCCCATGAACCTGCAGGAGTGTGGATGGCGCCCTGGGCCCTTCACCCTGGGAACACAGGCCCTGCCATCTGCTGGGTTGGCTGCATCCAAAAGAATGTGACCGAGGCCTCCCCTGTGGGTGTGGGAGGACCCTCCTGTGCCAGGCTCACCACGCTTTGCTGTCCCTGGCAGCTGGCTCATCGCCATCCTGGCACAGCTAAACCCCCTGTTCGGGCCCCAGCTGAAGAATGAGACCATCTGGTACGTGCGCTTCCTGTGGGAGTGACCTGCCTGCCTGACCCAGGTACTGTGTGGACGAGGGCTGGGGCAGGTACCATGTGGGTGAGGGGTGTGGGTGAGAGTGACCTGCCGCCCCGACCCAGGTACTGTGCGGGCAAGCAGTGTGGGTGGGGAAGAGGGGAAAGAAAAGGCTGTGGTTAGACTTCTTGTTGGGATTCAGGCATCTATTTATTTCATGAAAAAAAAAAAGGCGGGGAAAGGACTGAGCATGGACTCCCTGCCTGCCTGGCACTGTGTTGGCCGCCAGGGATGAAATGGGAGCCATGCTCCCAGCACCACTCCCCACCCCCCATCCTCACAGCACTTCACCCCAACGCAAGACCCTAACCTGGACGGAGGGAGGGAGAGGGTAAGCTGAGGACCATCTGGGCAAGGGTGAGGGGGCTTTCCAGGGAGGGTCGGGGGGAGCGGAGTCTCCACCACAAGGCCGGGACCCTTCCGTGTGATGTGCTTTTCAGGTGCCCAGCTCTCAGAATGCCTGTGGCTCCACTGTCCCTGACAACCCCTTCGTCTGGACCCTCCCCCACACAGCTGTGTCTGGTCTCCAGCTCCCTCCCGCTGGCACCCAGAGACCCGGACCTGCAGGGCCTGCCTGGTCCCTGGAAGTCTTCCCAGTCCTCCCAGCCAGCCTGGGCCCTGGGGAGCCCGGGGCACAGCAGTGGCCGAGGGGATGTCCTGCTCCAGTACCCGCACTGCTCTGGAGTTCGCCGTCTTTCCCAAGGAGATGCTGCTGGGGAGCTGGTATGGGCGGGGTCCTTCCCTTTACGGATGGGGCAGATGCCAGGACTCAGCCCATCCTGAGGAGGACCCGTGTCCGCGTGGAGGGTGCTCCGGCCCAGGCCTGGGAGTCAGTGCCCCGTCAGCAGCTCTGCCACCATCCTGCTGGGAACTGGTGGGCCTCTATTGGGTTATAGGCAAGGCCTTTTCTCTGGCATGGAATTGTTACTTTTCTGACACATCTAGATGTGACATTTCTGAAAATGTTAAAGTAGAGAAACATTCACACACAAAAAGCAACATAGTCATGTGGGTCCAGATGGCCTCAGTCCTAGATATTGGCACCCTTTGCTGTGTCTCCTCAGAATATCCTGTTCCCCCTCCTCCCACCCAGACCTCCCCTCAGCAGATGTCTTCCCTCCCCGACCCCAGCCTGTCAGTGCAGGTTTGACACACTGCACTGCGCTGAGCACAGGGCAGGTTTGGGCCCTGACTTGGGCCTCAGGCTGCAGTGGGGGTGGATTTCAGAGCCTCTCATGGCAGCATCTAAGTGACCAGAGCTGGGATGAGAGAGGGGAAGGGGCAGTGGGAGTGGCGCTATGGGGCGGGCCAGCCCTGCTCCTGCACCAGCCCTGCCCTCTGCCCCCGGGCCCTGGGCTCTGTGCTAGGGATGGTGAAGAATGGGGGTGTGCCGGCCTGGCAGGAGTGGGAAGCAACACGCAGGGGTCCCGGGCCTCTCCAGCCTTGCCCTCATGCTTACCCAAGCTCCCGGTGTGGTTAGTGGTTAGCACAGAGCTCACCCGCCTTGCCTGGCTCCCAGCTAAGGGTCTGTCCCCACCGGTGCTCCGGGGGAGGAAACGCCAGCCTTGCTTCTGTATGGACTGCTGATCTGGCCTGCTGTCCTGTTCAGTGGGCATTGTCTTTCGAGCAGCAGGAGAATAGGATGCCTCTCACATGCCAGTTCCCAGCTGGCCAGCTGCTCAGGGCTCAGGCTGGGGCCTCCCATTGACATCCTCCCCCAACACTCCCTCTCCGGGCCTCTGTTGCCCCTCCTGTTGGGTGAGGGTGTTGAGTGTGACTTGTGTTGAAAACCTGGTTCATATCTAATAAATAATGGTGATGAAAAGATTACTGTTTGGTGACAAAGCCCTGGCCTCCGCCTGTGTGCAGGTCCCCTGCCCCGCCGACCTGATTCTTGTTTCTCCGACGGGTGGGTCTGGGGAGGGGAGCAGGGAAGGATTCCGGGAGCTGCAGTTATGAACACAGACACCCAGGACTGCTTTCCTGAGATCTGGAGGAAAATCCGGCCCGCTGCTGACTGCCCAGATTCCGCGGAGAACCAGGCCTGGCAGGAAGACCAAGGACTTGTTCAAGTGCAGCTTTGAGCACCACTCGTCTGGGCCCCAGAGGACAGAGTGCAGGACTCCTGGCGCTGTGCAGTGAAGCACGTCCCCAGCGGCTCCAAGGCCCGCCTCATGAAATAGCCTAGGGCTGGGATCTGCCAGCGCGGCTTCCTGCAGGGCCAGTGGGGAAGCGGGCAGCAGGAGCCCAGCCCTCCAGCCCAGCCTGTAGCTCAGGGCAGAGCTGAAAGAACTTCCCTGGAGGGACAGGAGGGTGGGGCGGGACTGGAAGGCGCACAATGGAGGCACCAGAGCACTGAGGGCGGAAAGCCAGCTGAGGAGCTTGGATGGATCCCAAGGGCCATGGGAGCCGTGAAAGGGATTTAAAGCAGGGCCGTGACACGGCCATCTGGATTTCTAGCGTTATCTCTACAAGCTACACAGTGGCTGGCAGGCTGGTCTGACATCTTTATTAGGGCCCCTGGTGGAAGTGGTGAGGACAGAGAAGCGAGGGGGGAGCTGCATGGCTGTGACCCATAGAGACTGAGGCTGCTGGTGGTGGGGAGTGCAGCAGGGGCAGGTCTGAGAGTGGCTGTGGGAGCTGGGGTGTTTTATTTTTTGTTTTCTGCTAAGTCGTGTGTGTCCAGGGCACCCCGTGGAAGTGTTGGTAGTGGTTGGATGGGTGGGGTGGATGGTCCGGAGGAAGATGAGGCTGCAGGATGCAGAGTTGGAGCCATCGGCATAAATAACCGGTGATCCCTGAGGGGTGCAGGTTGCTCAGGGGGTTCCGTGTGAGAAAAACCCAGAAGAGAACCCCAGGGAGTGTGAGGTCACGGGGTGGGTGGGTGAAGGTGGGCCCGTGGAGGATGCTGGGAGGTTGCAGGCAGCCAGAAGACAACCAGGTGAGTGTCACTCAGGAGGATGAGAGGTTCAACAGGAGAGAGTGGTTGAGGCAACACAGACCCCCATTGTCCTCTACCTCCAAGAAGTCAAGGTCATCTTTGGTGATGGGCAGTAAAGTCAGACTGCAGTGGGCTGGGAGTGAGTGGGCAGGTGGGGGCTGAAAAACAGTGACCTCAGGATGGGGACCCTGTGGACCCAGTGAAGCTGGACCTGGAAAGATGACACTAAACAAGGAGGGACCTTCTGGGCCCATTTTCCCAGGTCGCTGTGGGTCAGCCCTGGGCCTGGGGGAACCACTCAGCCAGTTCCTGCAACTGCATCTCTAAAGCCACACCCAGCCCGCCACAGGCCCACCATGGGGACTTCAGGTTCAGGATGCTGAAGATCTGCGTTGGCCCAGGATTGGGGTGGGGGGCAGGTATCCCAAATGACTGCTTCCCCATCTCGGTTTCTGCTGAGTTCTTGCCTTCCATAATGTTGGATTGGTGGCATCTTTAGACACTCTCCCGGGATGTGTGTGGCTGTAGGTGAATTCTCACTGAGCACCCTGGGTGGCATCATCTGGACCTGGGAGGTGGAGTCCTGGAGAGCTGCTTCTTGCTCTCTGGGCAGCCTCTGGACTGCTGAGGGCCGGCAGCTCCTTCCCAGGCAGGGTGGCGTTTCTCACGTCTTCGATCCTTCCTTCCTGTGCAGCCATTCCAGGAGAGAGGAGAGGGGCCCAGAGCTCATGTCCACTGCACTCCCTGGCGCGATCTAGTCTCCCACGCTTTGGTGAGGACCATGTTCCTCCCAGAGGCTTTCTCTCCACGCCCGAGGCGGGAACCTGCAGGGTAAGTGGGTCTGTCAAAGATAAACTAAGCTGGACCTTAGTAAAAGCTACGAAAACAGATCTTATTCATTAACCACTGATGGGAGAAGCTGAGCTCCATTCAGATCTGTGCAGGGGGACTGGACAGTTTAATGGGAGAACGTAGGAGTCACGAAAGGGCACTCTGGGGCTCAGGAACCATGGGAGTGAAGACTTACAAAGGGCTGTTTGTGTTACTGTGGCTGGGCCAGCTGTGTGTGCCAGCTGGCAGTGATGGAAATTAGCTTCTGTCCTCCCCCAGAGCCTGGGAGACAGGCCCCATCCTTCCTGATGATGCCATTTCAAAGGACTGGCTCTCAGGCTCTTGAGAAAGACACTCCTGGACAGACATGCGTGTACATCTCAAAGGGACAAGGGAAGGAGGTACAACTCTAAGCGTTTTTAACGTAAATGCTCTAAGAAAGTTGGGTGGGGGGGTGGTCAGAGGCCTGTTGTCAGGTGTTGGTAGGAACAAACACTGAACGATTTTGACGGCCTTGAGCTTTTCAGACAGGAACTCAAAGGGTGGCCAGGTGGTCCCAGGGATGCCACTTTGGGCTGCCAGAAGCCATGCTAGGGTTGGTCCAGTCTCTTGGTGCAGGGGTTTGGACGCAGTCACTATGTACCCAACTTCTGTTAGAGTTCTCAGTTTCAAACCCCACCCACCTCCCCCAATGTGGGAGGCACATCAGTAAATATCAGCCTCTGATGCTCATGAACCTACACGACGCAAAAGAGCTCTAAAAATGGGCCGTGGCTGACAGCAGGGCAGCCCTGAACCATACCAAGTGGCAGAGCAGGAAGTGGCCTTGGAGGCCACGCTGAGAGGGAGAACAAAGCCACTGAGAAAAAAAAGTAAAGGTAACCAAGAAAAGTTAAGCTGCACACAAAGAGTATGGCCAACAGAGGGCAGCACCTACGGGCAGGATGAAGTCTCCAGGGAGACCTTGTCCAGTCGGTGCATCGCTGGGGGTGGATGGTGTGGAGGTCAGAGATGGTGGCCCTAGAGCCATAGGCTTGAGCAGGGAGCCACAATAATTCTCCAGACAATACCACAGCCTGGAGGAAACGCCCTTCAGGAATATTTCATAGTGGCAATGGCTGACGAGCATTGAGCCATTACAAGGTGCCAGGCACTGCTTCGGAAACCAAAGGACCATGCTGAAGAGCCCTGCCGTTCTCCAGTCTGATCCCAGGCTTCCCGAATCGTCTTCTGGTTCCATCTTCCCGAACTGTTTCCTACCTCAACATCCCTGAGAGATCTAGCACATTCCATTCTGTAACAGGGATGCCACAGATTCTTGGTGGACGGAGGGAGGTGCTGCTCCTGCTGGCCATAGGGTGCACGCTCCCTGCAGAAGCCCCCGAAGAGCAGCCCTCGGTTAATTTTGGCTACTTTGAACAGAAATAGGATAGTTGATAATTCTGGAAAAGTGAGGAGCTGGAGGTGAAGTGAGAGGCGTGGCTAATCTTATCTGCGTGCTGGACGTAACCTTCCGCTGATAAAGCTTTGGGCTTCCGGGAATGAAATCAGCTGGCAGCCACCACAGTTTTGCTTGACTTGTAACACTGGAAGATGAGGGCAGATGATCAGAGTCCTGTGTGCATTTAGGCCACAGACTGGGTTAGCAAATCTAAATACGAATCTCTCATTGGGGAAATATTGGTCAAAAGGTAGAGAATTTCAGTTAGACAAGAGGAGTAAGTCCAAGAGACCTAGTGTGCAGCCCACAGTGACAAAGTGCTCAACAGTGTGTTGTATGCTTGGAAATCGATAAGAGTAGATTTCACAAAATGAAAAGTGAGGTATGCATTTGTTATTAGCTCAATTTAGCCATTTCACAATGTATACACATTTCCAAACATGGTATATACCTACATGTACGCAATTTTTGTCAACTTAAAAATAATTGAAAAAAAAAAAAAAGAATCACTCAAGCCAAACAAAACAACCCATGGAATTCTGGGATGGAAGCCATGCCTATTACAACAGAACCTCCAGGGATGAAGGAGGCTGGGGCTTTAGCCAGCTCTCCAGGTGCCTCTGCCACAGGCAGACCCACACGGGGCCAGAGTTCGGGAATCATGCGCCAGGTGCGGCCTGCAGTGCTGCTTGTCAATGTAGAGTGTGGTCTACCTGTAATAGAATAACCTGGAATGCTTGAAAGTACAGGTTCCTGGGTCCCACACTGCACCCTGCAGATTTAGAGTCTCACACGGGATTCTAGACTTCACATTTTAAACCAGCTCCCAAGGGTTACGGTGCTAACCGAAGCCCTGGAAGACAGGATGTCCAAGCCCTGGCACTGTTGACAATTTGGGCTAGATAATTCTTTGGGTTTTTTGTGGGGGATGGGGAGCAAGAGAGGGCACTGTTCTGTGCATCCTACGATGCTTAGCAGCACCCCTTCCCTTTACCCACCAGATGCTAGCAGAGCCCTTCTCCCTGCTCCTGGCCATGACAACTATAAATGTCTCCAGCCATTTTGAAATGTTCCCTAGGGAAGCACCCCTACCATTGAAACCACTGCTCTAGAACCTCAACCCCTCAAGGGATTTCCAAACTTAGTTATCACCCCAGACCCTCAGGAAAGGAGGCTGGGGGGCCCTGAGGGGAGCCGGATGCCTTCAGCTGGCTTCCCCAGCAGGACTGGAGCTTCTGACCAGAAGACCACACCCCAGCAACAAGGAAGCCCCCAGGCTGCCAGGGACTACCAGGTATCAGAGCAGGCACTGACCCCAGCACGAGCTGGTCCCTCTGCGAGCTGGTGCTTCCCAGGAGGCCGGGGGCAGGGAGCTCCGGCACTGCCCCAAGCCCAGTGGAACTTGTTCTCCCTGCAGGCGGCTCCCTGAGCAGGGTGGGTGGACATGGTTGGGATGGATATTTTCAGACCCCTACAGGACCCCCGCCTTGGCTCTCTAACCTCAGGATTAAGGGTCATGATAGCAGCAAGGGTCTTCCCCCCACCTGAAATGTCAGCATTTCGTCCTCTGACAAAGACCTGGGACACACTGGGGTGATGACTTCATCTTCCCATTCCGTGTCCCATACAGCAGGAGCCCCAGGCTCTGAATTCCTGCAGATTCTGCAGCGTCAATCAGCTGCAATGCCAGGTGCAAAGGCCTTGCCCTTGGCCGGCAGCAATTGATTCAGCAAACATATTTCTCTTTTTTTTCTCTACCCAGCCTCCCAGAAGCAGTTGAACTTCACTTAGCAGCTCAGCTCAGCTTGGAGGTTAAGAGTGCGGAGCCTACACCTGGATCAAATTCCAGCTCTACTGATGATTAGTTGAGTGAAAGTGACTTAATCTTTCTGAGCCTCGTTTTTATTGATGAATCAGGATAATATTAGTAGCACCTGCCTCATAGGAGTTGTGACTATGAACTGAGATAATCGACTAAAGTGCTTATGTGGTCGATAAATGCTATTAATTTCATTATATTTACATATTAACTATTTAATTCCATGCCCCATTTTATTCTGCCAGGATCTCAGCTTCCTTCCCCTTTTCTGTTCCCGTCATGGTCACCACACTGATGCACTTTGGGGAAGAGAAGGTGGCAAGTGCCCTGCGTGCTTTTGTATGTGAGGCAGGACCTGACAAATAAGTGCCATGAAAAATACCTAGGGCCTGCTTAGGTATCTGTATTTTTGTGTTTCCTGTCAAATGTCTTTAATGTATAAATGTAGCATCTTCTCAGTAAAAACACAAATGCTTTTGGAGGACGGGGGGAGGAAGCAGATACTGGAATTGGCATGCTGTTTCTAAAGCCCTCTGGGAAAAACAAACATGTAAGAAATAACCAAGATATTCCTGGAAAAGCAGAGCATTGAGAGGGACACTGGCACTCCCAGCTACTAAAAAGTCTAAGATAAAGATACCATCTGCAAGGCTACGGAAATGCAAGCAGTGGGGCTGGCACGTGAACATATAGATGACTCAAGGGGTGAAAATAAGAGTCCAGAAATAATTTTACAATCAGGAATTAAGAATATGATAAACAGCCAGACACAGTATCTGACACCTGTTAATCCCAGCACTTTGGGAGGCCAAGGCAGGTGGATCCCTTGAGCCCAGGAGTTCGAGACCAGGCTGGGCGTCATAGTGAAACCCTGTCTCCACTCAAAATACAAAAATGAGCTGGGTGTGTGTAGAGGTGTGAGCCTGTAGTCCCAGCTACTCAGGAAGGCGAAGTAGGGGAAATACTTGAGCCCAGGAGTTTGAGGCTACAGTGGGCAGAGATTGTGCTCCTGCATTCTGGCCTGGGCGACAGAGCGAGACTGACTGGAAGAAAAAAAAATGAATATGATAAACATAGCAAACCAAATACATAAGGAAGAGATGAGTAGGGCAATTAACAGTGTCCAGAGTCCCAGCAGCAAAACAAATACAAAATGGAAGGAAACTATAAATGTACTAGAAAAAAACATTGGAGAATTTTTAAAATTATCATGTAATAGGGAAGGTCTATCTCAGGGGAAGAAAGAAAGAAATCCAGAGGCTATGAAGATAAAACTTTATACATTTAACTAAATTAAAATTTAAATTTTCTTCAAGGCAAAAACCACATAAGTAGATAAATGAGCAAATGACACAAAAGAATTCACAGAAGACATACAAAAAACTTTTGAGCATGAAGAGATGTTAAACATAATTTAGTCAAGGAAAGAAAATTAAAACAGCAACGTAACCTCCTTGTTACCTTATTAACCTTTTTATTACAGAGAGTGAGACTGTGATAACAGACTGGAGGTCTGTGCTGGCCACTGCAGTGCATCTCCCCATGCTCTTGATGCTCCCATACACGCCAGGCGCCTTCCAGCTGCCAGCACTGGCTTCCTTCCTGGGCAGCAGGCTGGACGTACCATCAGGAGTTGGTATATAAACTGGCTCCCAGAGCTGCCTGTAGTGTCACTGGCTTACACATGTTCTGGATGGCCTACTGGGCCCAGAGAAGATGAAATGTGAGGAGCACACTAATCACAAAATGACCTGAGCCAAGTCGAGCCAATCCTAGGCTAGACTGGCCAAACCCCATGATATGGTTTGGCTGTGGCCCCACCCAAATCTCAACTTCAATTGTATCTCCCAGAATTCCCCTGTGTTGTGGGAGGGACCAAGGGGAGGTAATTGAATCATGGGGACCAGTCTTTCCCATGCTATTCACGTGATAGTGAATGAGTCTCAAGAGATCTGATGGGTTTATCAGGGGTTTCTGCTTTTGCTTCTTCATTTTTCTCTTGCTGCTGCCATGTAAGAAGTACCTTTTGCCTCCTGCCGTGATTCTGAGGCCTCCTCAACCTTGTGGAACTGTAAGTCCAGTTAAATCTCTTTTTTCCCTCAGTTTTAGGTGTGTCTTTATCATCACTGTGAAAACAGACTACTACAGCCCAGCTGAAGCAGAGACACACTAGCCAAAATTAAATACCTGTTGTTATAAGTCAGTTTTGGGGTGTTTTGTTATGCAGCATTATTGCAATACATCTGACTGATACAGTGCTGTTACATATAGATCTAGTTCATTAGTGATATACACTTTCTTTTTCTACCCCCCTATTAATGACCCCTGTGTTACTTCCAGATTAACAAATAGTAAGCATCTTTTATATGTCTTTGTGCACATTTGCTGGAATTTCTCTAGGACAAATATTTAGGAGTCAAAGAGCTTTTAACATTACAAGAGATTGCCAAATTTCTCTCCAAAATGATTGTTTCAGTTTACACTCAACCAACCTTGTGTGAGTTTCTGGACTTCATTTGCTATTCATCTTCTTAAATGTTTTCAGTCAGATGATGTGTGTGAAATGGTAGTTTGTTTTATTTTATTTTATTTTTATTTTATTTTTATTTTATTTTATTTTTATTTTTATTTTATTTTATTTATTTATTTTGAGCCAGAGTCTTGCCCTGTCGCCAGGCTGGAGTGCAGTGGCACAATCTCAGCTCACTGCAACCTCCGCCTCCTGGGTTCAAGCAATTCTTCTGCCTCAGCCTCCTGAGTAGCTGGGACTACAGGTGTGCACCACCATGCCCAGCTAATTTTTTTGTGTGTATTTTTAGTAGAGATGGGGTTTCACCATGTTGGTCAGGATGGTCTCTATCTCCTAACCTTGTGATCCGCCCACCTCAGCCTCCTAAAGTGTTGGGATTACAGGCATGAGCGACAGCGCCTGGCTGGTAGTTTAACTTGCATTTCCCTAATGGCTGCTAAGCTTGACTCCACCTGTTTATTGGACATTTCGGTTTCCACTTCTCTAATTTGTCTACTCAAATCATGAGCTTGCTTTTCTATTACTTTTTTTTGGTCTTTTCCCTATTGATTTATAGAAGTTCTTTATATATTTTTGGCCACAAGTTCCCCTACTCCTAGTGAATCTAGTGCCAGGAAAAGGGAAGGAAGGAGAAGGTGGGGAGAGAGGGCAAGATCAGACAGCCTCGTTTCTTTTTCTGCTCTTCAAAACCATTGTTAAAAAAAATGAAAAGCAAACCACAAACTGGAAGAAACTATTTGTAATGCATATATCTTTCAAAAGACTTGTATCTTGAATATATGAAGAACTCATACTTCAACAATATGACAAACCCAAGTTTTAAAAGTGGGCAAATCTGAACCCTTACTTCGAAAGAAGAACTGCAGCCCTACCTTAGATCATGCACAGAAATAAAGTTCAAGAAGGTCAGAGACCTAACCCCAAAGAGCAATATGTCAAAGTGTTTAAAGTAAATCATAAGAGAATGACTTCCTGACATCAGAAAAGGGAATAATTTTCTAAATAAGGCAGGGAAAAGATTGTTGTGGTACATATTTATGAAAGATTGCCATCCAGATTATATAAACAACACTGACAAATTAATCTGAAAAATACAATTGAAAAATTGGCATGTATATTCCCAGCAACTCACAAGGAGCAAAACTTGAGTGGCCAATCAGTAGGTGAAAAATATACTTAGCCCCATTAGTAATTAGGGAAATGCACATTAAAGTCACAATGAGACATCATTTCACACTCATTAGATGGGCAAGTTATGTCTGCTAGCACAAAAGGCTGGGGAGGATGGGGGAAATGTAAGTAGGGGTGCAAATGGAGTCAACCAGTTTGGAAAAATAATTTAGCAATACCTCGCCAAGATGAACACCTCAGACCCAAAGACAAGCAGCTTCACTTCTAGGTGTCTATCCTAGAAAATTTCTTGTATATATGTGTGAGGAGACATAGACAATGATATTTGTGTAGCAAAAAAAAAAAAAAAAGAAAAGAAAACAATTGAATGGCTCCTTCATAGGGAGATGGATAACAAACAGTGGTTTATTCATACAAGGGAGTATTATACTATAAGATGATTAAAATGATGAACTGGAACTGTATATGTCAACATAGGGAAAACTAAAAGTATAATGCTTAGCTTTTTTAAAAAGCAGTTATAAAATGATATATAGATTGTTTCATATATGTGTATTTCTAACCCTTATTACTGTCACTGGAGAGTCAAACTCTGTAAAACATTTGAAAAGATTTAGTCTGAGTCAAGTATGAGTGACCATGGCCCATGACACAGCCATCAGGAGACCCTAAGATCATGTGGGTGGGGCACAGCCTAGTTTTATACATTTTAGGGAGACATGAAATATGAATCAAATACATGTAAGATGTACATTGATTTGGTTCATGTCAGGCCTCTGAGCCGAAGCTCACCCATTGCAACTTCTGTGACCTGCACATATACATCCAGATGGCCTGCAGAAGCCAAGAAGTCCAGGGCAGCCAAAAAACCACAAAAGAAGTAAAACAGCCAGTTCCTGCCTTAACTGATTAACCAACATTACAACATTCCACCACCGTGACTTGTCCCTGCCCTACCTTAACTGATCAACCGATCTTGTGAAATTCTTCTGGACAATAAGTCTTTTTTTTTTTTTGAGACAGAGTCTCGCTCTGTTGCCCAGGCTGGAGTGCAGTGGCCAGATCTCAGCTCACTGCAAGCTCTGCCTCCTGGGTTTACGCCATTCTCCTGCCTCAGCCTCCCGAGTAGCTGGGACTACAGGTGCCCACCACCTCGCCCGGCTAGTTTTTTGTATTTTTTAGTAGAGACGGGGTTTCACCGTGTCAGCCAGGATGGTCTCGATCTCTTGACCTCGTGATCTGCCCGTCTCGGCCTCCCAAAGTGCTGGGATTACAGACAATAAGTCTTATAATCTCCCCACCATGTACCTTGCACCCCCCTCCTCTGCTAACAATAAATAACCACCTTTTACTGTAATTTTCCATTACCTACCCAACTCCTATAAAGCAACCCCTCCCCCATCTTGCTTCGCTGACTCCTTTTTCAGACTCAGTCTGCCTGCACCCAGGTGATCAAAAAGCTTTATTGCTCACACAAAGCCTGTTAGGTGGTCTCTTCACACAGAGGCACTTGACATTTGGTGCCGTGACTCAGATCGGGGGACCTCCCTCCAGAGATCAATCCCCTGTCCTCCCGCTTTTTGCTACATGAGAAAATCCACTTACAACCTTGGGTCCTCAGACCGGCCCAGACAAAACACCTCACCAATTTTAAATCGGGTAAGTGGCCTCTTTTTATTCTCTTTTCCAACCTCTCTCACTATCCCTCAACCTCTTTCTCCTTTCAATTTCCACGTCACCCTTCGATGTCTCCCTTTGATGTCTCCCTTCCCTTCATTTTCTTTCCCTTTCTGGTAGAGACAGAGAAGACACGTTTTATCTGTGGACCCCAAACTCCAGTGCCAGTCACGGACTCAGGAAGACAGTCTTCCCTTGGTGTCTGTCATTGCGGATTATTCACCCGCATTCCAGAGGCGTTTAATCACTATGGGGACACATGCCTTGATCCTCCATCTTGGTGGCAAGTACCACCTCCCCTGGGTGACAAGTACCACCCCCCACCCCGTGTCTCTACCCCCTCTTTTCTCTAAACTTACCTTTTAACTATGGACAACCTTCCAGCCTCCATTCCTCCTTCTTTCCCCTTAGCCTCTGTTCTTAAAAACTTAAAACCTCTTAACCTCTCACCTGACCTAAAACCTAAGAGTCTTATTTTCTTCTGCAACTCTGCTTGGCCCCAATACAAACTCGACAATGGTTCCAATGGCCAGAAAATGGCACTTTCGATTTCTCCATCCTGTAAGACCTGGATAAATTTTGTCAAAAAATGGGGAAATGGTCTGAGGTGCCTTACATCCAGGCATTTTTTACACTTCGTGCCCTCCCTAGCCTCTGCTCCCAATGCGATTCATCCCAAATCTTTCTTCTTTCTCTCCTGTCCGTTTCTTCAGTCTCTATCGCAACCTCAGAGTCCTCTGAATCCCCCTTTTCTGCAGACCCCTCTGACCTCTCTCCCCCTCCCCAGGCCACTCCTCGACAGGCTGGATCAAGTTCCAATTCTTCCTCAGCCTCCGCTCCCGCACCTTATAATTCTTCTATCACCTCCCCTTCTCACACTCAGTCTGACTTACAGTTTCATTCCATGACTAGCTCTCTCCCACCTGCCCAACAGTTTCCTCTTAAGAGAGGTGGCTGGAGCTGAGGGCATAGTAAGGGTTCGTGTACCTTTTTCTCTATCAGACTCTTCCCACATCAGTCAGCATCTGGGCTCTTTCTCATCAGACCCCACTAAATATATACAGGAATTCCCATATTTGACTCAGTCCTGCAATTTAACCTGGAATGACTTAAATGTCATCCTGATCTCTCCCCTCTCCCCAGATGAGCGGGAAAGAGTTTATGCCCTAGCCCAATCTCATGCTGACACCTGCCGGCATTATGTGCCAGATATCCAAGAAGGCATCAGGGCAGTTCCCTGAGATGATCCCCGATGGGAATACCAGACAGGCTCCCCAGGTATAGCTAGGTGAGATTACATAGTCTCTTGCCTAGTTGAAGGGCTAAAAAAGGCAGCATACAAAGCTGTTAGTGATGGCAAGCT